ATTAAGGATAATCGGCTACTGCAAGTGCAAGGGCGAGTGATGGATGGACAATACGTCAACAAGCCGTTCATTGCAGGCATGAACGAGCCTGTATTTGAACTTTTGCATGATGATCTGTCCTGCAAAGAAAGATTCTGGTGGCCTGTCCAATGGGACCCTGCCCATTGGTTAGATAAAGTATTTAGTCAGCTCAAGGACTCGCCTTTCGTTGATCGTTTGCTGAGAAGGATTGCACTTTATCATCAACTTTTAGTCGTGGTAAAATGCACAGCGTAGCGCGTCATACTGCTAAGGACTTGAATCTTCCGTTTCGAGTAACCAACGCATTTGCACATCAGCGGTTTTTGAGCTCCAGCTATCTATCTTTAAAGAATCTTGCAGATAGTTTGGAAGTGTACATCGAGACTTTCAAGGACCACGACAATAGAGAAGAGATGGGTTACAAGTTATGTGGTCAAGACTTTGTCCATGATTTGCTTGGTGTACTCGATTTGTTGTGGCCCTTGGTCGTCCTGATGCTGCAAGCGCAGGCTGAGTGGTATCCTGGTTGGAAGTTGTGCTCTCATGTTCCTTTGGTAAAACGACAGATGCAACGTTACATCGAGGAAGTATCTAAAATTGATCCTGATGACTTTGTTTGCCCAAGATTAAGCCAGCGAGTTCATGAAATTCGAGATTACCGCTTTGGGCAAAGTGAGTTGGAAACTGGTTGGTTTGTCGTTAGAGAAGGCGACGGTAAAGTGCCAGTGGATTGGGTAGCAAGAGAAATGCAGGACAGTGTTCATGATCTAGAGAAGCTGGCTGCGGATGTCATTAGTCAGATTGATGTTCGCTACACCAATAGCTTTTCCGACCTCAACAGAATGCTATCAAAGTGTTTTGACTTTGGACGACTTTTCGTGGTTTATGCGGTTTTCGTTCGGAAGAAAAAAGTCCAGTAAACAACAGGGAGTTTTCTGAACTTGGAGCTAATGAGTTTAGACGATGTGTAAACTTTTCCTCACAGATGCCACATGTTTCTGAAAAGAATTTTGAGCTTTGTAGCGAGCTATCATCCACAGTGTTTTGGCGTCTAAAGAAAACACTCATTGCCGTTGTTTGGGGTGATATGCTACACACTCACTTCCTAATTTTTCAAGAAGATCTCTCTCGATGACGAAGGAATTTTTCCTTGCAGGATGTGGTTTTCGAGGAAGGAGTCTTTGTGACTAGGTTCCAAGAAGGTACACCAAGGCAGTTCACCCTTTCTGAGGTCTTCGAAGTGACGCTCAACAATGGTAAAATGATTGACGTTCTTTTTAAAGAAGAGGCCGTTATTGAATCTTTATATAACGATTCCTCATTTTATTCAGCTGTCGGCCAAGAGTTTTGTCTCGTCTTTGACATATTTTATGCGAAATGCGGAACTGAGGCTGTTGCCGAATCTTTTTACCGGGTGGTGGATAAGCAAGAAATGGATGGTGGGCAAAGCATAAAAGTGCTAATGAATCGTGCTAAAGTTGATTGGAGTTTACCATCTGTACTTCAATGCGACGCAGCACTGAACGAAATGGCAAAACTTTACATCAATGGGGACAAGGAACGTGGTTTGTCCAGACATATGATTCCTGTTTTAGAGACCGACGAGCATGGCAAAACACGAAGGAGAGATGTCCAAGGTTTTGCAACGCATCATAACATCACGCCCTAAGCTACCTTTCCTCTTGTAACCTTAGTCAAGCGTCAACCAGTATGCTTCGTGCAGTTATAATCAAAAAGTTTTCAATCCAAATCTGGAAGCAGATCGTAATTGTTTATCAATTGAAAAAGCTCCCTTGCTTACCATCTGCCTGCTGATTATAAACAATTATTAACTGAAAACCTTTTCTGTCCACAATCTGGTTGCTGATTATAAACAAAGATTAACTGAAAAATCTTTTTTGTCCACCACCTGGCTGCTGATTATAAACAAAGATTAACTGAAAAACCTTTTTTGTCCACCATCTGGCTGCAGATTATAAATATTTATCAACTGAAAACCTCCCTTGCTTACCATCTACCTGCTGATTATAAACAATTATTAACTGAAAAACCTTTTTTGTCCACCATCTGGCTGGAGATTATAAATATTTATCAACTGAAAACCTCCCCTGCTTACCATCTGGCTGCTGATTATAAACAATTAGTAACTGAAAAACCTTTTTTGTCCACCATCTGCCTGCTGATTATAAACAATTATTAACTGAAAAACCTTCTACTCCACAATCTGGCTGCTGATTATAAACAATTATTAACTGAAAACCTTTTTTGTCCACCATCTGCCTGCTGATTATAAACAATTATTAACTGAAAAACCTTTTTTGTCCACCACCTGGCTACAGATTATGAACAATAATTAACTGAAAACCTTTTTTGTCCACCATCTGCCTGCTGATTATAAACAGTTATTAACTGAAAAACCTTCTACTCTACCATCTGGCTGCTGATTATAAGCAATTAGTAACTGAAAACCTTTTTGTCCACCATCTGCCTGCTGATTATAAACAGTTATTAACTGAAAACCTTCTACTCCACAATCTGGCTGCTGATTATAAACAATTATTAACTGAAAACCTTTTTGTCCACCATCTGCCTGCTGATAATAAACAATTATTAACTGAAAACCTTCTACTCCACAATCTGGCTGCTGATTATACAAAAGATGGTTCCTGATTGATTTGTTTTTTGACGACGTATTTGACGACGTCAGTAAATCAAATTTATTTGGTGCCTACCTTTATCGTATCATACGCTGTGATTAAACGATGAAACAGATGAATGATAAACATACGTGGTACGTTGGTCGTTCGACTCGTTACATAATACCTAAGGTAAAGTGGCATTTTTGTGATTACACATGACACATCCTCACGTTGTAAAGGAGAGTTGCAAGCTCCAACTTAAGGTAAGCTACAGCTATACACATGTATCATCTTTTATGTTATTTTTCATAATTATTTGCAATTGCAAACTATCAAAAATGGAGTGTGATACGGAAAAAATAAACTGGCATCTCGCGAATATTTTATGGCTTCGCAGCGCAAAGTCGAAAATCCGCCGCGCAAAATTGAAAATCCGCCGCGCAAAATTTCTAAAAAAAATTGATCTAGCTTGCGCAGTTTGCATACTTTCCAGTCTGGCGTATATATATCATATGCGTACAATTTCAGCTTACTTTTAATGTTTTTAAAGTTCTAGCTGATATAATTCAGTCTTTTAACTGCAAAATCTGTATCTTAAAGACCAAAATGAATGTATAATCGCTTTCATAAATATGTATTTCCCAGGTGAAAGTGTTTCAAAAAGCGCTCAAATACTGGCAAATTGCATCAACAAAATATCTATAACAAATTCAACTAAAACATACAAATGAATGTAGTATGAAAGTAAAATACCTTTTCAGCATTTAAATCCATCAAATGGTTGCCCCAAAGTCCACACAAATACAAGGAAAAATAAACGCAAATATCAATGTATTGAAGAAATTGTGTTGTTTCTCATTTGTTGACCAGAAAATAGTCGTATGTCACTCGTATGTTACTCGTATGTACTTGTATGTTACTCGTATGTACTCGTATGTCACTCGTATGTACTCGAATGTACTCGTGTGGTGTTTTAGTCACGATCGTCCGGAACTTAAAGATCTGCAGTTGTAAGGTAAAGACGAGAATTTGGCAAAAGTTTCGCAACAACATATAAATGAGAAGAGCAACAACTTTTTCTCGAAAATGTAATTTACATTTGTCATCACTTCTCGACCTTTCAGCGGAAGTTTTTGCTTATAAACGTAACACTATCTCTAGGTTCAACCCTAACAAATCAAACAACCAAGCACATTGCCTAAAAGCAATGGTATAAACCAGTGGCGGATCCAAAGTACGTCAAAATAAATTATTGATCTTCAATTTTAAATTCAAATTACATTCAGAAAAACACTATTGGTGTTTAATTTCTAAAGAATATAATTTTACGAATGGATTAGCCTCTAAAGTGTTTAGAAATGTGAATATACGCCAAAATGTGCAGCTGCAATTTATTTTGACGTACTCTAGATCCGCCACTGGTATAAACAATTAGCATGTATTTCTAAGCAATGTTGTATGAAGAAAGAAGTACGTCAAATGGTCACTGTGGAATCCGTCGTAACTCCTCTGACCATTGCATGGTCTACATCAATTTACCAAAGCCGAATACTGTAATTTTGAATATATTGATAACTTGGATTTATTTTTAACTATAGAAAGCCTGACTTAACCCTAACCCTACTTCTAACCCTAATTAACCCTTCTCTGAAATCTTAGTCATGTATAAAATTAAAAAGCTTGTCTTTATTGTACAAGTGCTTTTAGAAAAATTTATGTTTTCCTTTATATAGTATAAATGCAAAAAAAAAAACATTCAAAAACTTAGTTAATGTATTAAAGCCACCTCAACCATTCAACTATTGCACTCAATTGTCGTCTCCTTTGAGGCTTCACCTTTCCCTTGAGGCGATATAAAGTATTAAAACAAATTGTTATAATGGTCAGAACGGGTTCTATTTGGTTTTTGATTTTGTGTTACGTTGTTGACACCTTCCGTATATTGCACTATCTATTTTTCGAATGTCGTCGATGACATCACTTGCGAGAGAAAGTGTTAGAATTATTCCTTACAAATTTGTTTTTTCATTCAGAAAATACTGTAGCAAAGCCATCCCATTTTTTACTCCTATACATCCTACAATGGAAATCACTGAAAAAACAACCAATGGACTTAATTTTCTAAGGAAATGAACAATACGTTATTTTGATGAGAAATTTGCATTGTAGGTGTAAAAGATCGGGCTGAGAAAATATATGGCTCACCTTAAACACAAACTTATCCACATTTCAATTAACATAGAACTTTATTACTACAGTACATACTCCAGCGTCCAATTATATTTTTCTGTTTATATATTTCAACGGCATTTAAACATTTCCTTGTTCGACATGATCTAGAAATGAGATCGGACGTAAGCAATCCGCCTACAGAAATGAGAAACCTAAATGAAAAAATGCCATTCTTCATGATTCCATGTTCTAATTCGAATTCTCCCCCATCACTTAACTCATTGATTGGGTAAGTTGCATGAACATTTCTTGATGCCAATTTTAAAATATTGATGATTTTTGTGTCATTTGTGTCAATAAAATTTTGATCTTCTTATATAACATAGAGCTGTTCGACGAGGCATTCTTATGACGGAGCGATATCTTGGAAAGGCAAAGAATGAGGACCTCAGTATAACAGACATTGATGACTTCGGAAGAAATATATTTCATCTTAGTGTTCAAAGAGAAGAGCTACTGAAAATTCTTTTAAAACATTTTGAGGAGGTAAGATATATTTCTTTATTGTGCAGTTGATTTTCTAAAATTGTTACCCTTTAAACAACAAATCATTTAAGCATGCGTCATTTTGAAGCACGTATGACTTGCCTTGCGTTGCAGGTCATTGTGGCTTAAAATTTTATTATTTTAATTATTATTTAACAAAAATTACCCTTTCTTGTAGGCAGATACGAATGCAATGTATACAGCAATGACATGATACAAACTATAATTCATCACACCTTACTTTTACAAAGACTAATCCACAGCATGAAATGAGATTTTTACTAGTGCAAGCTAAAACTCCACCTTTATAAATGTTACAATGCGATACATGAAGTTTGATTTCCAGTCATTCTAGAAGTCCCATTGGTAGACAATTCCACACTTTTCGGATAAAATTAAAACTATACTCCCAATCGAAATGAATAAATTTTAAGGGAGAGAAGAAGTTTATTGCCAAAGATTAGACTGTTGTTTTATTCCAAAGCCATTATCAGAGAATATACATAATATTATTCCTCGAGGAATAATATTAGACAGTTGTGACCAGTGGCTTAGGAATGATATGAAAATTGAGGAAGCACAAGCTCCGAGGGGCACTTATGGTTGAAAAAAGGGAAGCCAAAATATGTAAAGAGACAGTTTGATTTCAAGAGCTGCAAAGATAGTCCACCTGAAATTTGTGTTTATGGTCTTTAAAAATGTAGGATTTTAGAATTCTGACCCGACGTTTTCCGCGCTTTTTCACCAGTAAGATACAATTCTTAGAAAAAATAGAAAATTTTCCAACTCAAATTAAAATCAAAATCAAAATGTTATGGATTAATAAGTATACGTACAAATATGACACAATCTGCTGGTTGTCAAAATTCGTACAATATTTGAGAAAATCGATAGCATATAGTCTGTATTCAAATTTGACTCGTGCATGACAATTTAAGAAACTGGTTATTTACGCTTCAAGGGCTCTGGAATCTCGAAAGTGGAGACAGCACGAATATTATTCATTAATTTCATTTTTATGGTGATTTTCAACAGCATGAGCAACTCATGGAAGCTCTCCACAGTGAGGATATAAATGGTCACACTCCGGCTCATGTTGCTGTGTTGCACAATAAAAGAGAGGTATTTTCAATACTAACTAACTTCACTTACCTTTTATCTATTTATTTAACTTGAAAAATGTGTTTCTAATAAAAACTTTTAGTCTTACGTACGTGCGCGCAAATTTAAATAAATGAAATCAATCAAAATTCAGGCAATTCTGATTTTGGTCGTGCATTGTTTTTATGCTAAAATGGTAATGTGAGAATTGTGCTGCGCTAACTGCCAACACGGCGAAATATGTATATCTGCTGAAGTAAATCTTGCCCTAAAAATTTGAATTAAGTGTTTAACAAGGCGCCCATCAGCAGGTGTTCACTCGGGCCATTCAAGGACAATGTTTGGTTGTATTTGCACAACGAAATTCGATCACAGCAATGCAATCTTACTTGGGCAAAAAATTCTATCAGTCATACTTTTTTTTCACCTATCATTAATGACACTTACTTATGATGTACTCGTTAGATTTTTATCTTCTATTCACAATTCTATTCTATTTTTGAAGAGCCTACAAATTCTTGCCAGTGCGGATGAGAATATTTACACTCTTCGTAGTTCAAAGAAAGGACAGACATTGATCCATTGTGCAGTTTATTCGTGCAATCCATATATCGTAGAAGATATTCTTTCGGCTCGACCTGAATCCCTCTTTGATAAAGATGATGGAGGAAAATCACCGCAGCATTACGCCGCTGCTCTTGAGGAATGCTTTCTATTGGACTTTCTCCTCTCGCAGGGCGCAAACATTTTGGAAACGTGAGTATGTAATATGAATAAGATATTTTTGCCTAACGCTTTCATGGCAGTTTTGCTCTTGACTCGATTTGATTGCGTGTGGATTCCGAAATTCATAAGCATGCATTCATTTAAGATTGAAAGAAAATTGATCTCTTCACCTATTGTCATAACTTTTTAAAAAAATTTTACTCGGCATTCACTAAATAAATTACTAAAAGTTTATTTCACAGGTCTTAAATTAGGTGTTACGTCTATAAGTGCTTTGACAGTTGAGTGGTTCCAAGAAGTCATTACTGGCCTCGGAAGCTCCGTGGCCACTTTTTTAGTTCTTATCACAAATGACGTCATATCCTTGTATCTATAACTGAACGGTTATCTATTTTTAAATAGATACTTTCAATCGTACCTATAACTGGATTTTAGCATTTCAATCGATTTAATAAAAATATTTGCAATTGAACAGAGTCGATATTTCTTTATAGTTTTTTGGTTCCCTTGTGCATAAAATTTCTCCTCTTTGTACTGTCCTGTTTTTCGAAATTTCCACCGGACGTCCCTGCATCTGCAGTCCTTTAAAACTTTTAATTTTGTTGCTATGACGAACGGGATGAAATTAAAAACAGTCCAATTGTAAAAAAATTAAACGACATGACTCGCAGGCACTTGACGACGTATAACAACCAAAAAGTATTTCTAATTTTAGTGATAACAACATGTCAACATTGCTTCACGAAGCTGCTTACGCTGGGTCTATATCCAACGTTAAACTGCTGAGTTTCGATGAAGTCACTCTGTTACTTGCAACCGACTCGGGAGAGAGAACACCATTACATGTTGCCTGTGCCAAAGGTTTTCGAAGTATTGTCTCATTTCTACTGGAAAATGGTGCTGATCCACTTTTAAGAACTACCGGTGGTGAAAGCTGTCTGGAAATTGCTGTCATCCACAAACAAGAGCACATAGTTAATGAGCTACTGCTGAGTGCCGACTGGAAAAACGTGAGTAGCAAAATTTTGTCTTCATAAAAACAAGAGGAAGTTTTCCACTAATGACTCTTAAATCACTCAAAAACGTCAATAAAAACCATTGAAAAAAAATTCGTCATTTAGGTTACTCATGTGTGATAGCAAAAGATCTATAAAGCTCTTAAAAATACCTTTTACACAATTCAGCAATAATCTTAAACGTTATTTCACCAGAATATAAAACTCATGCAGTGATTAACTTATATCACTGTTCAAGTATTGTAAACCAGCATTCAGTTTTTTGTCTTTTACATTTCTTGTTGCATTGCAAAAATCTGCGGTACAAAATCCCTCAGGAGGACTTAATAAGAAATTTAAATTTAAAGTTCTTCAAAAACGTATCCGTCAGTCAGTTATAGGTTTACCTTCCATTTTAGCTCGTTTGTGATTGGAAGAATGGAGCGAAGAAATGCTTTGCGTACCTTATTGAGAAAATGCCGGATCAAGCGAAGCTATTGCTAGATCGTTGTGTTGCGACTAGTGATCACAAGCAAAATTCTCATGACTACAATATTAGCTACGACTTTTTTCTTTTTCATAGTCCAGGTAAAGGTTTGTTTTTACGATTATAAACACCATCGTAGGAAAATTTGAGTTCCTTGATGTGTTTATTAATTACGACATATGAACCACATGTTTGCTGCCAAGCAGCTTAATTTTATAATTTCGTTTCCACTGTTTTGATGGCTCAAAGATTTATAGCGGGGATTGAAAATGATAGAGCTATAAGCTAAAATACGTTTTACCATCGTAGAACAAGTATTACAACACAACACTACATAGAAAGTTATAGAAGAGCTGTTGTCAAAGAAGAACGTTTCACAATTCAGGAAAACTTTTGGCATACAAGTTTATATTATCGTCGCTCGACTGTCATTAAAAGCATTGTATTAAAAAACACTTGAGAAAAACGACGATTTTTTTGAAAGCAAACATGTTTCGACATTATCAGAATGCCATCTTCAGTGCAGAATGGTTAGTGTTAAGTAATATGATACGTAATATGATATGAATAAATTAATTACAATGAATAGGAATAAGATTAAGTTACAAAATTATAAAATATTTACAAAAAAGGAGAAAAGAAAAAAAAATTAAGTATTAAGATCTTATAACAAAAAATATTATTATAAAGTAAATATAGTGTTGTAGTGGTGAACTTGGATATTTAAATCGGGATTAGTTTTATTAATGTGTAGAGCTTCCTTGATTTTGAGTGAGAAAGTGGATTGATCAGTGTCGATGATTTTAAAACAGAAGGTGAGAATTTGTTTTATGAAGAGGCTTGATGTTTGTAGATAGTGGAGTTTTTGTCTGTGTGAGTATGTTCCTTTATCCTGGTAGATAATTCATGAGAAGTTTCACCGAAACATGATTGATAAACTACCATAGTTCGGGAAGTGGGTTAAACGAAAATAAAGATTTTATTTTGTGAAAATAAGTTTAACGTCAATGTCAAGTAGCGTTTAATGACGTGAGTTTGCAAGTGTCGTGAGGTGAATAACACCAAGGTTATAACGTTGTTGTGGAGAGTCATGTTCTTGTTGTCCAAATAGTGTTGTTGATGAATGAAAAGAATTACGTTGGAGAGTGAATATCTTTAAATCACGTTGAAAGCCGATGTCCGTGTAAGTTTCCGTTCTGTCGGTCAGTGTTCGTATCAGTCCAACCTGTAATTTAATGGTGTGAAACTAAAAGTAGTCCATATTGGTTTGTGGTATGGAGTTCATGTGATTTATTTAGTAAGATGTCAAAAGTAATTTGTTCGGTTTGAAAGTTTATGCTTTGATGTTGATTTGTTCGTGATTATGAAAATGTCAATGTTGTCGGTAAATGTTTGTACCAGGAAAATCTGAAAAATGCCAGAATGGGTGCCAAGAGCCCAAGGTTGACGGGTAAGTATGGGCTCACCTTGGCACCCAATCTAGCCAACATTTTCATGGGTTTTCACGAACGAAACTGGTTAAATAACTACAGCAACAACAAACCTTTATTTTACCGCAGATACGTTGACGACATTTTTGTATTTTCATAACAAAGACGAAGCATTACTCTTTACGAATACATCAACAAACAACATCAAAGCATAAACTTTACATACGAAACCGAACAAGACAATCAGTTACCCTTTCTTGACATCTTACTAACTAAATCACATGAAAACTGTATGACCTCTACGTACCACAAACCAACATATACAGGACTACTGACTAACTTTTTTAGTTTCACACCGTTAAATTACAAAATTGGACTGATACGAACACTGACCGACAGAGCACGGAAACTTAACAACACAGACATCGGCTTTCAACATGATTTAAAGAAACTAATATTCACTCTCCAACGTAATTCTTTTCCTTTTCATTTCATCAACAAGACTATACAACACTATTTGGACAACAAGAAAAGCAGTGACTCATCTAACTCCACAACTAACACTAACGATATACAACAACCTGACAATAAACGTTATTTCAAACTACCTTACATAGGTGATTACTCACGACACACACAACGCAAACTCACACAAATCATTAAACGCTACTGCACTGACATTGACGTTAAACTTATTTTCACACCTTTTAAAATAAAATCTTTATTTTCGTTTAAAGACCCACTTCCCGAACTTTCCAAATCTATGGTAGTTTATCATTTTCATGTGCGGGATGTAATTCCGCTATATTGGTGAAACTTCTCGCCAATTATCTACCAGGATAAAGGAACATACTCACACAGACAAAACTCCACTATCTACAAACATCTTCAAGCCTCTCCTTCATGTAAAAACAAATTCTCACCTTCCTGTTTTAAAATCATCGACACTGATCAATCCACTTTCTCACTCAAAATCAAGGAAGCTCTACACATTAATAAAACTAATCCCGATTTAAATATCCAAGTTCACCACTACAACACTATATTTACTTTATAATAATATTTTTTGTTATAAGTTCTTAATACTTAATTTATTTTTCTTTTCTCCTTTTTTGTAAATATTTTATAATTTTGTAACTTAATCTTATTCCTATTCATTGTAATTAATTTATTCATATCATATTACGTATCATATTACTTAACACTAACCATTCTGCACTGAAGATGGCATTCTGATAATGTCGAAACATGTTTGCTTTCAAAAAAATCGTCGTTTCTCTCAAGTGTTTTTTAAAATTGCTGCTAATTAGAAATCATTGTATTAAGTTTTTCATGAACCATGGTCGACCGAATGTGAGTTTAACCCTATTAAGTGCAGAAAATGAGCGTTATGAAGTCATCAGTTACTGGGATGGCCACAGCGATAGCATAAACACGACAAAGAGTTGGATAGGCATCGATCAAATTTTTATCAGAATAACCTAATAAACTGGCAACCACAGTTTGACTCGCTGTTTTCAGTTCTCGGTTTTTCCTTGATTGTAATCATAGATTTGCTAGCCAAATGTGAAATATATTTTCATTTCTTCTGCACTCCTTTAAGAGAAGAGTGAGAAAGTGAAATATTTTCTGAAAAGCGGTAAATTTTGGAAAATCAGTTTCGGCGTCAGCCAAAAAAAAGCCGTTTTTGAGATAGCTGCTCCAGTTATAATGGAACTCAATGGTCTTATTGGTTTGATTTTGTTTCCAATTATAAATATAGCAGAGTTTTGCACAGATGCGTTCTGCCACTCCCGTATATGCCTTTTGCGCCTTCCTTAAATCCTTCCCTATTGGGTGATGGCAAACCTAGCTCCTCAGCCACCGCGCCACTTTTTTTTCAATATATGCGTCTACACAGGAGCCCTGATATCTTCATGAACTTATTCTATACGTGCAATGCTGACTTTTTTCTTTGAATAATTTTTAGGTTCTAATCCACCTGCATTTCATGCACTCCAAGCAATCCTCAAAAATAACGAAGAGAAGTGCTTGACTCACAAGCTTTGCAGGAAATATTTGAGTGTTAAATGGCGAGAGAAAGGTTGCTATATATTTTTGATCGATTTGATCCTTTTTGTATGTTTTCACATCTTGTTCAATGCCTATGTCGCTCTAGTCCGCGGTGGTATTGCTAAAAAGATGCTTCAAAATCACGGTAAGCTTTTGGCGGTGCAATATATAGGCCTTTTATAAATAGACAGATATTGATATTTCCTTTTTGAAGCAAAGACCTTTGTTATCGTTGACTGTAAGAAAATACTGTCAGCTCTACATGTAAAATAGATCATCCGACAACTTATACAAAAAACAAGTTTTAACACTTGACTAAAACGCAATTTGTTATTATATATATAGCCCCGCAAAATGTATTGCCATTCTATAGAAAATTATTGTATTCGTCAGAAAACTTACTGAGAGAAATGTTGTGTTCATTCGCATGCAAATTGCTACTAAGAGTTTCAGAGAGTTTCCATTTAGAGTTTAAAAAGTTAACTTTGTCTCATTTAGAGAATGGTACAATATCAGAGAAATATCCAGAGCCTGTTGCAAACCCTAAAGACACTGGACCACTTATTGCTACCTCTATTATTTTTACCTTAACAATATTCAACGTTCTCAAAGAATTTGTGCAGGTTTGATAGATAAAAAATTTTGTAGTTTCTTGAAGAAATAGTTTGTAGTATACCTATACGAACAGATTTTTACAGTTAGCTAACTGGTTTTCATTGAAATATGAATTTTGCTTAACAAGCGCTCTAAATTATCAATTTATAGATGTGTTCGTTTGGCTGGAACTATTTCAAGCAACCGTCAAACTACTTTGAATGGACTTTGTTTTTGTTCGTTTTGTATTTCATTTTTCCAATCACAGCATCCAAGACCGAAAATCAGTTTGGCGCAGCAGCAATTGCAATTTGCATTTCTTGGTTTGATCTCATCTGGTTCTTACGAAGAATTCCTGACATCGGCACTTATATTTTAACAATACAGAAGACGATGAAAACTTTATTGAAGGTATCACAGAAACAACAAAACATATGTGGCGATGTATAGTTTCTAACATTTTTATTTCAACGATTAATGCAAGCAACCATTTGTGTGTGTTATACAAGAATATTTTATCGGGTGAAGTAATCCTGTAAACGCCTAGGTTTTTACAAAATGCTCGTTTAAAATAAAAGAAAAAAAATACAATCGGTAAAGATAAAACAAATACTGAATCTACGTTGACTTGTCATGCATGCACTTCTTTTTCAATTTACACATTTGTAATATTTTGTCATCATTATGGCAGAAATTCTTTGCAAAACCAAAAGTAACTTGATTTTAGTTGCTATAACTTTGAAGAATTTCAAACTCTTAAGAAAATTGATGAGATAAGAATTAACGAAATTCCACTTTACTTACAATTCCATAAAATCATTATTTTTGCGCTTTCACTTCAAACAAGCAATTTCTTATTGCAGATGCTCCTAATAATTTTGCTGTTTTGTATGGCATATGCATCAACGTTTTACCTACTGCTGGCTGAAAGAGAACGATTCAAAAACTTTCCTATCGCTATCCTTAGTACGTTTGTTTCGATGCTTGGTGACTTTGGTTACGATGATCTATTCCTGAACATTGGTTATTACAAGACTTTTCATTCTTTTAAACTTTTCATGTTTGTTATTTTCATACTGTTGATGGTGATCGTTATAAATAATGTGTTGATTGGCTTAGCTGTCGGAGATACCCAGGACGTGATAAAAAAGGCAACGGTGCAAAGGCTTAGACAACATGTAAGTTTATGTAGGGTCATTCCCATTGAAGAAATTTGGATTATTAGAATTACTTTGTCGTTTGAAATGTTTAAATCATTGAAACATCAAATAGGTGAGACAAAAGCACGGAATATTGTATTCAACATTTTTGTATATAAAGTTAAAACATTTTCCCAGTCATTTACATACTTCTCGATAGTTTAAGTCATTATGCAACTAAGCATGAAATAAAAACCTCTTCTAATACATTTAATTTTTGCATATCTATATACCATACAATAGTGGTTTTCCTTTCTTTTCAGATGAAATTCATGATGGCAGTAGAATATTCGCTGTTTACTCGATTGCCTTGTTTCCGTCGAAGGAAACATGCAATTGTGTACACGGAATATCCAAATCACAAAAAATCCTTCACGGATAATTTGAATCGATTTTTTGCCGGAGAAATGAACACTTTCTACAATGATGAGGAAAGCGACGATGAAGTTGAACGTGACACTCTCACACGGCAGCAGCTCGAGGAAGTTTTGAAAGTTAGATTTGAGGAGCATCACAAGAAAATAATGAAAGAAATTAGTGATTTTCATTCGGAAGTGTTGGAAAAAGTGGTCGAGGTGGTTAATGACCGCAAAAATGCTTGAGTTGAGTACTATATAAAGGCTATTGTGTCAAACCATTTTTATTTGGTCAAACCAAATTATTATACTACCAGATCGTGTTTTTTTACTGACGCCATTTCACAAAATAATCGCCATCCGACATAATGTAAACAGCACGTCTAATCGCGCAACCATTGCGAATAAAAGTTATCGCTATCGCTTTTATCGTGATAAAACAATAGTGGAAACCAGGCTTAATGAGCTACAGTAACTCCCTCCCATGTTTTTCATGTGCATATAAAAGCGTATTAGGACTAACTCCCTTGGTAAGATAAATTAGCCGACACAGAAATGCCCTACTTAGTACGACGACCATGCATGCAAAATTTAATAAAACAATTAAAGACTGAATTTCTTTTAATGTGGCCTTTTTCTTTTTAAGTAATTTTCCGAGAAGAATGCATGTTTTGAGGATTTTGTAAACTAAATAGTAACAAACTTCCCAGTACTTTTCTATATGTTAACAGAGTTTTTCTACCCTCTCTCCGTTCCTCCCTTATTAACATATCTCCTATTTACAATAAAAACTACAAAATAACTAAAAGCAATAAAATTATTATTCCCTTGTATAAATAACTCCTTTATGGAGTATTGAGATCAATGTGCAAATAACAGGTGATAAGTAAATTGTTATCATAATTATTTACTATAGAATTTTATTTGCTCAGGAGAGTTTAGCAACCGCACCTCGTGCAAATTTTGAACGTTAGAGTTTTCATAGACTCCACAGCCTGAAAGGGAAGAATCTGTGTTAATAAAAACATCAGGTATACCACGTCTTATTTATAACATTAAATGATGTAGGTAGTGATGATATCCACCACTGTAACTCTGCGATTGCTTTTGAAGACAGCTTCATTGTCTGATCAAAGTTTCCACAAGCCAGTTTTAAGGCAGTAGTCTTAAACAGTAGTTTTAAGGCAGTAGTCCTAGGAACTCTAGTGATTGAGTAGGTTCCAATATCGGTTTTTCCGAATGGATAGTCAACCCCAAGAAGGAGAGCGTTTTTACAGGGTCTTGCACATTGCAGGCACAGTCATGGTATGATCTGCCTTGTAGGTAGGAATCATCAATATATTCTGATGAAATATGCCCTAATTTATGCAGGTTTCATTAACTTAGTAAACTTCCTAGGACCTGGGACTGAATAATATGCTTCTTTTAGGTCCACAGATGCCATAAAACAATTTGGTGTCATGAGCTTAGTCACAGACCACATCTTAAAGTGATGATGTTCCACAAATGTGTTAAAATATTTCAAATTCAAAATCATACGGTGACTGCCATCTTTCTTGGAGCACACGAAAATAGGGGAATAAATTCACCACGCTTATGGGATGATGGAATTATGACCTTTTTCGCCAACAATTTAATTATTTCATAATCAATAATTTGTTGCTCAGATTCACTGAATGTATGGTTAACGTGGTTGCAACAAGGAGGGGGTCCCTCAATAAAATCTACTAGGTAACCCTGAACTATATTAAGAATTTCAGGGTCGTAAGTTAGTTTTTTCCACTCATCAAGAAATCGAGCTTTCATTCCAGCAAAAAGGTATTCACCTTTTTCTGCAATTCTTGTTTAGTATTAAAAATAAAATTCTGATGAAAACTCAACATTTGACTTGAATTGATATCTGGGTTGGGTGTTACTGCTGTTGTTACTGTGATGACTTGGGGTACCATGACCTCTGATTTGTCCATGGTTTCTTCTTCGATAAAAAATGTTTCATTGAATTTTCCTGGCGAGGCCCAAATGTTGTATTGCGTTTGTCAAAACATTGTCTGTTACGACTATGTGAAGCTACCTGGCTAAGCTTGTGAGATGTTTTAACATTCTTACACTCAGACTCCAGCTCATCACCAAAAACATTTGTGGTAACTGGCACTTTGTCGGAGCAAAGGCCCATGAACTCCCTGTACAAGTTTGGTTTTATAACCTCTCTGCGAGCATATGATAGTTCAACAAAGGCATGTCCAAGAAGTTTAATGGCATCCATATTGGACTTGATGTTGTTAGACGTATCCACCTGGACCTCATTATTTCGAGCTTGAAGAAGTTGGTCTGTAACATATATCAGTGAGCTCCCAGCCTTTGCTAGATTTTTCGAACATTAGCAAACCGTAAATCTATTCTTATAACCAACCTTGGAAGGTTGGACCAGATTCTAACATCAACTCTAGGAACAGTTATACTAGAGCAGTTCTGTGGTCTTTGAATGGCATCTAGTTTCTCAGCTAGCTTTCTTTTGGTAATTTCTCCACCCATCTCTTGTTAAGCATGGCAGCAAGATGCTCATTTACAGCTGTTCTTATAGGTTCTTGGTCAATAAGTACATAAGCAATATCAGACAGCAAATTGTCAGTATAATTTGTCGATTTATTTGTATGTTCCTCAACTGGGTCAGCCAAATTCGATAAAACTCTAGAGAGTAAGACTGACTCATCATCAGAAATGTCTTCTCTTTCGTTATTAAGTGCATCTTAGCCTTCCGTTTGTTATTTTTTGGCGCCAATTTGGTATCGTGTTCGGCCCTTGTACCTCCATGGGCCGTTTCAAGGCATTTCGGGCGTGATTGGAAGCGTTTCATATCCCTATGTATAACCTCGAAATAGGCATGTGAGAAGTATTTAGTACATGAATCTTTGAAACCAGAAACATAATGTATAATCTCTAATTCCAGGGATACTAAAAGCCGGAATATCTAAGCCCAGATACAATATACCAACTCTTGCAAGAACATGATGAATTTAAATTACGATTATGAATATCGTCCGGTTATACCGGAGTATGCACCGACCATTTTGAATAGTTCTGCTTTGAGAGATCGCTTACCAGTCGAGTGTCATCTTCTCTATCAATGTTTGCCTCATTTTCATAAATCACACACTTCATCTGAAGCTCTAAATGTGAGTCTCCAAATGGAGTCGAGTTGGACTTCAGTTAAATCTTTCTCCTTGAAGTTTTAGTCTAATAACTTTATCGCAAGTGATCTTAATTCTATTTGTTTTCCGTATTTCAGAATGCCACATTATTGAGAACGCCTTATTCGCCATATCATTATGCAGTCTATCAATTTCACAATGAAGAGCGAGAAACCGCGTCGTCACATTCGATTAGCAAGCCGTTCGAGAAAATCTGCCTTTCTGCCCGTAACCAAAGGTCACCTGGACTCATCTGTATTACAAGGGTTAGCCCATAGCTCTAATTAAAAAAAAATTATATTCAGTATCTTTCAAGCATTCTAACCCGAATCCTGAAATTTCAGATCATCGAGTTTGTACCTGTAACTTTACATTGATTTTCTATATATTTATCATACTATACTACGAATTACATGTTAACTTTATTATATATATATTTACAAGATATTTACGGCCCCTAGGTCAGGTCGGTGAGATATTTAAGTAGGGAACTGTGTGTTCAGTTGTGAAGCAAACAAGAACGTGTCGGGGAAAAATTTAGGCGTTCCCACTTAAGCATCCACTCAGTATTACATTGTCTATTTCTTGATTGAAAATCTGTGTCAGTATTTTCAATCTCTTGCACGTAAGCTGCACTAAGCCGTATCTTACGCTCCATACACCATTCCCAAATTCTCTTACCAAAATTATTGCATTGCAGAGAATGACTCCAACCCATGTGATTAATTATAGCTACAGCTGTGGTGTTATCTACACTGTAAATTTTAGGGGGTAAAAGTTATCTTTTTTAGGGTAGTATTTACTACCTTCAGATGGGTAATTGACTAAAGGGGAATATTTACTCTAAAATCATGGGTATTTTGCTATCCGTAATTTAAATTTTACCCTCAACATAATGGTAACGTTTACAATGACCCTCTTTGGGTGTAAATGCAACATGTGGGTGTAAAAACTACCCCATGCGTTTGGTGAAATGCCAAGTGCAACGCATTTTTTAAAATCAACATGGCGGAATTAAGCAAGAGTGAAAGAAACATGCTTCTTCGTCAACAGAGTCCAAACCACTTTGTCGGAATATTAACATTTATGGTCAATTTCTCCAAGATTTCTTGAATAACACCACGTAATGTAAGAGTTGTAAACGAATACTAAATACATGCTCTCATTACTCTGAAGTTCTGAACTCCGTTGTATCTTGAATAGCCTCTTGTATTAATAACCATTTAAGATATTTGCGTACTATGGAAAAGGCTGCATTTAGGTTATTTTGGCAAAATGACCTTGAGATAGAATCTTAACTTTTTAGGTTTCAGACTATTTTTCCTTTGAGTACGTTTCTCTTTGCGATTGTTGCTCTTGATCAACTCAAATGCAACAGAGGTCGTGTTTTGTTTTAATGGGAAACATATTTTTCTACTAGAGAAGGTTTATGCTTCTGATTATGTTTTAATTCATATTATGCTCTCGCCTTTTAATTCAATGTAAAAATAATAGGTATTTGATATTTTGGACACACAAATATTTTGTTTTGCCCATGAACTGAAATATTAATCAAATGCAGTGGCAATGGGTTTAGTAGCGCTTGCTGTTTAATTATCTGTAGCTCAGTTGTGTCAACCATTTCATATGCACTGAAATGCTCATGAAACTTGACAGTTCCAAGTTTCTGAGTAATGAACCATGCTCTTTCCAAATTCCTTTCAACCACGAAAATCTCTTTTAATATCACAAAACATGGCATTTCTTCTTTGTCATGACTAACCCACAAAACACATCCAGCTTTGAATTTCGTACCATGAACTGAAATCCATTTTGGTCTAAGTATTGAGAAAAACAATTTGTATTTTCATTCTGTAAATCTATTTAATTGAATTAGTGCATTAATAACTAACTGCCAATAGCTAATAAAAAAAAACTAGGAAAAGGAATCTTCAATCATGAAAATTGCAAATAGTCATTGTATAAATTTTTCTTAAAATTACATTTTTTACTTCTTTATACATGAACAAGTATGTGCAACAACTGCATTTTACCTGCATTTTTTAAAAATTACCTTTTCAATTATTGATAAAAGCTTTGCCATGCTTATTTCACTCAAGTTTCAGTGAGTATTTTTAAAGTATACCTGGCAATAGAAGTAGTTTGATGTATGAAGACATCCTGGTTGCTTAATAAGTCATAGTACTCATGATCTCCTGCACATAGTGTTGGACCTTTAAATTTAAAAAATTAAATTTACATTTGTAATTCATGCTCATTTCTTGCCATAGTTCCTTTAAATTATTTGCTGTACCTGGTCCAACTTCAAAGCTTTTTTGAGAAATCCTGATTCATGATTGCCAGACTGCAACTTATAGCAAACCCATTGTTGGTGTCACATGGCCAAAGTAAATGGTAAGTTTGTGTAGTTACCAATTACAGTGCTCAACTTCTTAAAATAATGGTGTTTTGCTTCAAATCGCATGCACCAAGCACGAACTAGAAGGCCCATTCTACAAGTTTTAAATATGGTACCTTGCTATTTGAAGGGAATACTCCATTACTGTTTGATCTTACAATACCTGATTATAGCACTAGGAATGTGGACCATAAAATGCATTTTTTGGAATTATGCTGCAGTGGGGATAAAGCTCCTTGAACTTATTCTGGTGGTCATTGATTAGGACTTGAAGATATGCCACTTCCACTTTTCATATTACAGGTGAAAAGCAAAGAGATGTGATTTGTAGGAATCTAAGAAAAAGTTTCCATCGGTCATTTTCTGGAGGAACAATATTTCCAATTCGTAAGTTTGACAGTTTCCCTACAGCATGCCCAACTAAGGCAACTACATTTATGGTGTTGGCAATAAGGGGTTTTACGCTATTTCCGTCAACATTTTGGCCACCGACCAAATGATCACAGGTGGTTAGCAATGAAAAGGACGCTTTTTGAAGAACTGTTTGAATGTTGCTCAAACTCAAGTCACTCCGTTTTCGTGTGTGCAGCATTTGATCCCAGATTTCTGCGTTTATCTATGGCACTGACATACCCACACTGTTTTCAGGCTGATGGTACTTAGCCAATATGGTTTTAAGTTTATCGCTGGATAGCACCACGCCTCGTCTCTTGTTTGCAATGTTAGCCAAGTTGTCACAAATTCGTGGCCCAGCTGGGTCAGCCTCTGACAAATTGAGTTCAATCTGTATCATTAAACTCATTTTTATAACTGGTCTAACCTGATAAAGACGGTGTGCTGTTGACTCACCTACCATTTGCATTTTGGCGCAATCGTTATCCAAGAAAGCTTGTATGTCCGAGTCGGACGCTGTTAAGCTCACTGAATCCTCACAGGCTTCCATATCCGATTGGTTTTCTGAAGTCTCAATATTAAGACTATAGACAAATATTAAAATTTTAGTGGGTTAAAAAAATCTTAGTTTGGAAAATGTTTGGTCGTGCTCAGCACGACAAGGACGAGCTCTGGCTACGCCACTGCTTAATGTCCACTTTTACACATATAGGCGTAGGGGAGCTATCGTTTCTGTGGGGCAGTAATTGATTTCCCCAAATCACAATGGGAAGACGGAATTTTTGACTTGAAATTACACAAGATACTTTCTTTTTTCGCTTGAAAAATGTTGATAACTTGCCCGACTTTTGAGTCTTCAAACATACGCTTTGCTTGCAGAAATTAAATTGTTGGCTACATAAATATCAGAAGTTTATATACATAATTGCCGTTTGAAGTCGAATCTGCAGAGTCAATACTTTTTGCAGAAAGTCAAACACTCTCCAATCGAAATTACTAATTTATGGGATTTTATTGCTTGTTCATAATGACTAGAAAGTAACCATGTATGAAGTTTGAGTCAGAATCGCTGTTGCAATCCAAAATTTAATAGGCAGCAAGTTTTGTTTTAAGAGTAAGGTTGCTTAAAATAAAACTGAAATCAAGCTTGCAGCAATATACGTAGCTCTTTCCAGTTGTACAATTTCATAAATTAGTTTTCCATGCTTGAATTGTCGTTCACGAGACTCGAGATTAAAGGCTTATGAGCACGACAACGAGAATAGCATTGATTGATTTTATTCCTGTTTTATTCCCTTTTTTTCAACAGCATGAACAGCTCATGGAAGCTCTCCACAGTGAAGATTTGAATGGTCACACGCCAGCTCATGTTGCTGTATTGTACAGTCAAAGAAAGGTATTTGAAATCTTTCCCTTTCATCATAATCTGCTCTTTAAAGACGATGACGTAGAACCTCTTAAAAGTTGACAGTTTTTTCCGTGAACTCCTATATCTGTGACCGCCGGAAAGTGCAATTCGCCATAGCTGTCTGTCGTTATTTGAGCTTCTCTGATGAAGAACACTGCTAAATTTTGAAAAGTATAAAGAAATAACACAATGCCTACGATAAGAAAACAATGTTTGGTTTTCAATGCATAAGTTAAACCGTGTTTAAAGCAATATTAACAAAATCTGTTCGACGAGGAGCGGGACATTGCATCACATTTATGGTGTCAATGTGCTTCCACTTTTTTATACCATTCCTAATTTCCTTCGATTTTGGGCTTGCACTGATCTGCTCTTAACTTTCCTAAAGGTCTCCTCGGTTTGCATAAGCCTGTGCAAACATACTAAACATCTTTTGTTTATTAAATATAAATCTGGCGAAAATGTCAAGCGAACAAAATTATATGATCCACTCTGCTTCGCAGTTTCTAGTTTAATAATTGCTGTGTCTCTCCATCCCAAAAGCAATTTTCTTCTGCCGCCTCCTGGTCAAAAGCTTTCATTAAGCATCATGATTTTGTTCATATATTCTATTTTAACAAGAGCATCAATCAGTGAAATGCCTAAAAAAGTTTCCAACTTGTAAATATTAGCATATTTAGCCCATTGCCCGCAAGGTTTTTATGAAATAAACCATCTATCTGACTGCCTATCTATCTGACTAACTGAATCAATTTAACATGAACATCAGCTGCCAGCCATTAGGGGTTAGTTATTTATCCTTTTGATAAACAATAGCAGTTTGAATTATTGATATAAATTTTCATTTTGACCTATTTTTGGCTTCAACTTATAGATAGGTTCAATTCCAGTGGTGCAAAGCTTGCTTCGACTTGGTTGAACGACTCGTTTGATTTTTTTCTTCTGATAGCAACAGTACTATTTTCTTTTTATAGAGCCTACAAATTCTTACTGGTGTTGATGAGAATGTTTACGCTCTTCGTAACTCAAAGACTGGACAGATATTGATTCATTGTGCTGTTGATTCGTGCAATCCATATATCGTACAAGATATTCTTTCGGTTCGTCCAGAATCCCTCTTTGATAAAGATGATGATGGAAAAGCACCTCAGCATTATGCCGCTGCTCTTCGGGAATCCTTTCTTTTGGACTTTCTCCTCTCGCGCGGTGCAAATATTTTGGAAACGTATGTATAATTTGACAAAGACTTTTGGAGAGTTGTTGGTTAATTTACTTACATAAAACGTTTCCATAGTAGCTATAGTTAATTGTGAGGATGCACCTTTGCAAATAGTTATTGCGCTCGATGGACTCGAGAATATAGCTACTGATAAAGATAATGCAAGAGATTTTCTTACAGTTCTTTAAGTTTCAATTCGAAAATGTTTTTGGACATATGCATATTTGATTTTCAATATTTATATTGTTTGTTTGTAAATAAGGAAATATGAATTTACCTTCATCATAGTACCAAAGCTGTAGTTCTAAAGCACTTTAAAAAGAATAAGTCGCAACAAATTGAATCTCTTGTATGCACGATAATGAGCTATTTGCATCTACCTCATGAAGAACTGAATTTCTTTAGCTGTTCTATATAATTGCATAAATACAATTGATTTTTGAAAATCCCCAACAAAAAAACGATCTTTTTATGATTTAATTCCTAATTGATTTTATTATTAATTCTTAAAAAACTGTTTTAATTGTCACCATGAGCAATTCTCTTGTAAAACAAACTCTTTAGCGTAACTCGTGCTTAAAAATCGTACGCATGCTCAATATTATCTTCAACCTGCAAAGGAAGTAAATTCTCAAAAAGTTTATTTTTTAAAATAAAATATCAACAATTGGACGCCCCTGCTCTTGGCAAGGTAAAACAACAAAATTATATTTTATTTTATTGTCAGAGATAACAACAAGTCAAAATTGCTTCACGAAGCTGCTCAGGCTGGGTCTATATCCAACGTTGAATTGTTGGCGGTCGATGAAGTCACTCTCTTACATGCAACAGACATGGAAGAGAGAACACCATTACATGTTGCCTGTGCCAAAGGTTTCCAAAATATTGTCTCATTTCTACTGGAAAATGGTGCTGATCAACAAGCAAGAAGTACAGGTGGTAAAAACTGTCTGGAAGTCGCTATAATTCACAAACAAGAGTATGTCGTTAACGAGTTGCTGATGAGCATCTACTGGAAAGGCGTAAGTAACAGAATTTTTTATTGTAAAAATACAAAAAAGTGTTCCGCTGCTGAGTGGATAAATATCTACTTGATGTCTGGCGATTGCTCTGTTCATGTGGCAAGTGATTGTCAAATCACTTGCAACGTTATTAATCATTAAACGAAACAAAAAATTTGTGGCTCTGTGGTGGATTAGTGAAGCTCCTTTTTAATGGTACACCAAGAATAGCACAAGTTTCTTTTACAAAGAATGTCATTTATTAAATTCAAATTTCCTTAATTTAAGCTCATTTGTGATTGGAAGAATGGGGCGATGAAATGCTTTGCGTACCTTGCTGAGAAGATGCCCAATCAAGCCAAATTACTGCTAGATCGTTGTGTTGTGACCAGTGATCACAAGCGTCATTCGCTTGACTACAATGTTACGTATCTGTACGTCCAATTACTGGCGTTAAGAGTATTTAACACATGTCTGTTTCGACGTACCGACATTAATATATCAAGAATGCTAAAAGTGAGTCTGTCAGAATACGTACAGTGAACCTTAGCTTTGGCACTTCAACTGTTGTAATAAGGCCGAGAAAAGCGTTCGCCAAGAAAAGCGTTCGTATAGGTTTGGCGTCACATCTAGTTAAAAAAAATGCTTCCCATTTTGATCACTATACATTTAAAACTTGGTGCGCAAAACGTGCACACGATTTATCGCTAAAGAAAAGTAAACTAAGCTAGCTTTCAAGGCCGTAGCTTTGTGTTGTACACACAAGTAGCCGTAGTTACTTGTATGTCTGTAAGAGGGAGGGAGGACGGTGAATATTCGTGTTTACAATTGTGTACGTCTGATTTCTTTTGAAAGTAAGGAATCACAAAGGACAAGAATTTTTTTGTTTTTGTGCGACGAAACTCAATACAGTAAACATTTTAAGTTTGCTCAAAGTACTTTATTATTCAAGTTGATCCATGCCATCCAGTGCCTCAAAATCACTAGGGATCAACTCATAAATTGTGTTGTGCATCATGTGCATTATTTTTATGCTAAGCCAGACTGGACACTATAATGATTGTAAGGCACAACTTGAAGAACAATTCAGACAGTTAAATCTATTATGTTTAATAACATTCGGTTCGCGTTTGAAAGGGGTCGTTTCCATTTGCCAACATCATTTAACGCTTGGCTGAATCCCGGCTACCGTGCTCATGTAATCAGCCCCTTATTGTGTGCAAGTCCGCAAATTTGGATGATTATGACGAAGGTTTTCTCATGTACTATGCAAATGTCATCCAATACGGTGAATATTCCATTGTTCTTTCACTCCCAATGGAGTGGTAGCACACCATCTATAGTATGGCTAAATTGAAAAAAAACTTTAGTTTTCTTATAATCTCTTATACCACGGATGTGTTTGGTTACTGCTGAATTCAGATTTGTGAATGAAAAGAACAACAGCAAATGCAATGGCTGAGAGAGTGGGAAATAGAAGTTCACACGTTATCTTAGTTTATATTTTAGATAGTGTAAAGACCGTTCTTGTTCTCTGTTGTTTATTCATCACCACCTACACTGACACACGTTATCTTAGTTTATATTTTAGGTAGTGTAAAGACTGTTCTTGTTCTCTGTTGTTCATTCATCACTACCTACACTGACACACGTTATCTTAGTTTATATTTTAGGTAGTGTAAAGACTGTTCTTGTTCTCTGTTGTTCATTCATCACTACCTACACTGACACACGTTATCTTAGTTTATATTTTAGGTAGTGTAAGACTGTTCTGGTTCTCTGTTGTTTAGTTGTCACTACCTACACTGACACACGTTATCTTAGTTTTTATTTTAGGTAGTGTAAAGACTGTTCTTGTTCGCTGTTGTTCATTCATCACTCATCACTACCTACACAGACACATGTTTTCTAAGTTTATCTTTTACATAATGTAAAGACTGCTCTTGTTCTCTGTTGCATTCGTTTGTCACTACCTACACTGACATGCACAAGTTATCTTTAGTATTATTTATGTGGTAAGAAAACCGTTTCAATATGTCTGAAGTTTGTTCATTTTTACCTGCCTTAAAAACGATATATTAGGAAATCATCTTTTTCTGTTAACGTTTTACTTTGTCATATCGTATTGTATAGCCGTTGTATAGAGCGTCTTGTCATTTTTTGCAATTCCAAAAATTTTATATTTTTTTCAGGTTTTGCGGCGTAGCTTACTTCATGGCGTTTGCATATGCAGTAATGTGGATGCCTGGGGTAAGTATATGTTACAATGGTTTGTTTGAAGGGGAGGGCCCCCGATCGAGGATCTAAATTTTCATGATTACATGCAAACATATGTTCGTAAGTCGTGAGATTGAGGTCGGATTATTTTAGTGATTGCGGCCAAGAATCACACACACATTTGTATATCATTGTTATACAGAATTTGTGAAAACTTGTAGCTGCATAACCATTGTACATGTGTATATTGTTAAAATTTATTTGCGTTCACATATTTTGGTAAAAATAAACCACTCACATATAATCAAATTTGAGTGTAATTGGCATGTATAAGCTGATTATGACCTCCTTTATACTTATACCTTCCGTGCCAAGTTTCAATTAAAGAACCAAAATTTATAGAAATCCCTGGTATTATATGCATGACTCATGGCTGCTAATTGCCTGTCGAGGTTGTATTTATGATCATATAGGCTGTGGGCTACAGCCTAAATGAATCACAATCTTTGTAGCCGCTAAATGAGAAAGTTTGGCAATTTCTGGCAAAGTTGATAAAATTGGGTCAAAAATTAGTTATGAAACGTATATGGGCAAAAAATATTTTTGTGAAAAGATGGCAATGTTTAGAAAGAGCTGTTAATGTTTACGTGGATACGTGTACTTTTGTAAAAGACATCTCTACATGCAGACTACGATTATATTAACACTGGATGTGGCTGTGAAACAAGCCACTTGCCCATACATATATATAGCTACGCTTTAATTGCATCTGAGGCAAGTGTTAATTAGCTTGTTTGATTACCAAATTGCAATTGCTCATGAGCACAATGAGAATTCTAATGAAGACTTAATGCATCTTTAAGTCATGTGGCGATTTTCACATCGTTTTTGCTTATCTAATTCACAACTCTTCAATATCGTCTTATCGTTGTAACTATTAAATCACAATAGAATTAGCTAAGAAACGCTGATGGGGGTAAAAACAATTTCTTTTCGCGTTATTTTTGCCGCCATTTTCATGTATACATATGTTGTTATGATAGCTTTATGAAGCAATTTATATGAAAAAGTTTCAGAGGGCGACAGTCATAAATCTTCGTTGCCATTATTTCATGGGAGTTTGATTTTTTTACATTATCAGCTGTTTTTAACGTTTAGCGACTGAGTATAACAGTTTTTGCGGCGAGCAAAAATTATCTTTTTATTCTTGTGCGTTCATTTTTAATTTTTAATTTTAAATTGCTCAAAACATTTCTGATATTACATATGCATTAAACGCAACTGTATGGTAATTAACGGTCGAGATCTTTGAAAGATTTTTTATGCATATAAAATGCCGTTTGCCCTATACATTTTTGCCTTCAAATGTCAATTATATACATAGAAATATATGGGACTGCACTTAAGAGATGTAGCTAGTTCGCTTACCAGCTGCGAAACTTTGGTTACATGTAAATTTTCAATCGCGCGCGCAATTTTATCCAAACTACGTTTTACATAAAATGTACGCACCGATCTGAACAGCAAAGGCACTTTGTTGAAGAAAAATACATTGCAGTCTTATTCATTTGGTTTTAATACGAATATATAGGCCAGAAAATGTTTGTGTATGTCAGCGAGGCATTTCATACATAGATTTGAGGACTGTTTGCGTGCACCATTCTGTGCATTTTGGTTTCATCACTTTCAAAGGCTGACATTTTTTAATCAACGACAAACAAATATACAGATATTGTGCAGCAATTCTGGATGAGGTCAGACATATTTTATATACTTAACAAAGCAGCCGAAAGAACAGTTTCCAAAGTCCCACGCTCGTTCAGATGATTGAAAAATGATATTTCATACAAAATGAGGCATTTAACGGTTTGAGTTTTTAATTAGCAATTAATAACAGCTATATGTTTTTTGTATCGTAAAATGCTCCGATATTGTTCTTCCGTGAAGGTGCCTGGCGATCAGTTGTTCTGGCATCTTCAGCGAATAAACTCTTATTTTTTATCTGAATATTATTAGCCATGTAGCTACATGTGTTGGCCTTAAATTGTACCTCGTGAACTTTCTGTCCGCGAGCTTAAGAACAAAAAGCTATATGAATAACGCAAACTCCTAAATATATATGACAAATTGTTTGCACCTTTTTCAGTTCCATTTAAATCGATTATGAAAATCGTCGTTAATTTTATATTGCCAATTCACATTTGCACGGTCTCTCTGCGGTAAATGAAAAATATTAGCTAAAGAGAATTGATTGCAACTTTTTCGGGTAATATTATTAGAGGCATGTATCTATAAATGAAAAATAAACGGATTTAATGGGAATAATTCTTGAGTGCAGACTGGATCTTGAAGTTTTTTATAACATAGCTAGTATATGAAGAAGTCTATAGACTTCGTTTTAGCTAAAAGTATTAAACGATTGATTTTTATCGAATCGTTTAATTACACACACACATATATATATATATATATAAATATCCTCATTCTGATGAAGGCTAGAAGCAACGAGTCGAAAGCTCAATAAAAAATCAATTGAAAATCCGGAGAAACTTTTATCTTTTCAATATGAACATAATAGCCCAACAAAATACTTTTAAAAAAGCCATTACAATAATAAAATAGAGAAGGATTTATTAATTACGTTTCGTCTTTAACTTAAGACATCTTCAGATTAATGAGTTAATATATATATACACGAGGTTTTAATACAAGCATATAATATAATATGGGGTGTTAAATTACATGTGAGAGGAGTAGGAAATTTAGATGACGGAATTAAGTGAGAATGGCGGTATATTAAAGAAGGTGAAGGGGGATTGAGTTGCCTTGGGTGTTAAGAGAGGGTTTAAGTTTGGATATAAGAAGGCTTTCATGAATCATAAGGTCATATTTGTCGGAGGAGGAAAGAGAATTGAGAAATCATTAAAATCGGCGGGTGAGATGTATTTATATGAGAAAGAACTGCAGATGGTGGTGGACATAGGAAAGCTTCCTGTTAAGGAGAGATGTGTTCTGATATTCTGGTGTGTAAATGTCGCGTGGTTTGACCCACATACGATGCAGAGCAGCATCGACACTTGAATGAGTATACAACACCAGATCTCAGGAGCTTGGGAACCCTATCCTTAAAAGGAAAGAAAGAGGAGAGACGCCTGGAAGAACGAAAGACAAAGCGAACGTTGATATGAGGAAAGGCAGCATTGCAGAGTCGAGTGATTTGAGTGCGAATCTGAAGACAGTGTAGGCCAGTGAAAGGAGACAGAAGTACATGATTTTCTTAGGGCAGTGTGAATAGGATCTTTGGGTTCAAATGTATTGTTGAGGAAGCGGTGAACATGATTGTCAAATATGTATGAAGGGAAGTTGTTTAAGGTGAACAATTTTCTAACGACTTCTAGTTCGGTATGAAAGTGTTCATAGCTGGAGCAGAGGTTGAAAATTCTGTGAAGTAAAGAGGAGATCAAAGAGCGTTTGTATTGAATGGGAATGAAACTATGGAAATTGGTGAAGAGGCCAGTGAAAGTGGGTTTACGATACACGGAGGTGGAAAACTTGCCGTTTGAGCGAGTTATTTTTACGTCAAGAAAGGGGAGCGTGTTGTCTTTTTCCAGTTCAGATGTAAAGGAGATGTTAGGATGTTGGTGGTTGAGATAGTTAAGGAAAAGAGGTATGTGATCCAATGATCGGAAGAGTAGAAAGCAATCATCAACGTAACGTTGGTAAAGAAGGGGTTTGAAGGTGGAGGGACAGTTGTGAAGCCATGAATTTTCATTGAAGGCCATAAATATGTTCGCAAATATCTTTTATGTACTCAATGCCTGGATTACAAATTTTCAAACTTATATATATATATATATATATGTGTGTAGTGGTGTAGAGAAAAATCACAGAACTACAGATTCATCCCGACAAGCCTGTTTCGTGATTGCTCACTCTTCAGGGATTTAAAACTTCCTATATATATATATATATATATATTATATATGTGTAGTGGTGTTGAGAAAATACACAAAACTACAATTTCATCCCGACAAGCCTGTTTCGTGATTGCTCACTCTTCAGGGGATTTAATGAATAAAATACTTAAATGCTTAAAATATATATACAAGATGATGACGGAAGTTAGTGTATTAATCAAGGTGTATAATTTCAAGTTAGATGACGGAAGTTAGAGTATTAATTACGGTGTATGGTTACAAATTACATAGGAGTGTATACAAATTACTATGGTTACAAATTACATATTCACGCTCTGCTCTTGGGCATCGAGCACTGTTTTATACGGAAAATCACAAATTATAAACTTCTACGAATAAACCAACCTGCCGACTTATCAACCCAACAAAATCTGAAGTTGGTAAAATTAGCAAGAAAATATTGGACAGAATTAACAGCAACATCATAAAAACAACCTCATACAACCAATGGAAAAACTCATCATCTGTGATCCAGTGGTTCAAATCTATCAAACACAAAAAAAACGTCACCTTCATATCCTTCGACATCGTAGACTTTTACCCATCCATTAATCAAGACCTACTAAACAAAGCACTGGATTTTGCCTCAACCTACGACAACATCACAAACGCCGAAAAAAACATCATTATACACGCTAAGAATTCATTCCTTATTCACAACAAACAACCCTGGCAAAAGAAATATAACTCTACATTCGACGTCACAATGGGTAGCTTCGACGGAGCTGAGACATGCGAACTCGTAGGAAGCTACCTCCTTTCTCAACTACAAAACATCACAACAGACATAGGACTTTATCGAGACGACGGACTTGCCATTTCAAACACCACACCACGAGAAACAGAGAACATTAAAAAGGAAATATGCCGGATATTCAACAACAATGGACTACGCATAACTATTGAAGCAAACAAAAAAATCATCAACTTCCTTGACATCACCTTCAATCTTAACAATTTTTCATATCGCCCTTACACAAAACCCAACTCTTCTCTCCAATACGTCCACAGCGAAAGCAACCATCCACCAACCATAACGAAGAACATACCCGACGCCATCAACAAACGTCTATCTTCACTATCATCCGACAAAGCATCATTTGACCAAATAACTGCACCATACCAAAAAGCACTCGACGAAAACGGATACCAATACACATTAAAATTCGACTCAGACGCTACTACCAAACGGAAAAACAGACTTCGACAAAATATACTTTGGTACAACCCTCCATTCAGCAAAAACGTCTACACGAACATTGGCCACAAATTCCTTTCATTAATCGACAAACACTTCCCCATGGACCATAAACTCAGGAAAATATTCAACCGTAACACCATCAAACTCAGCTACAGCTGCATGAACAATATCGAACAAATAATCAACAACCATAACAAACATATATTGAGAACATCAGACAAAACTAACGACAACACCGCGAACAAAAAGACACTTACAAAAACATGCAACTGCCGACAAAAACAAAACTGCCCACTTAACGGAAATTGCCTGCAGTCATCCGTTGTTTACCAAGCTACTGTAAAACGCAAAGACAATAACACAACTGAGACGTACATTGGACTTACAGAAAACGAATTTAAGACTAGACATAGAAATCACACTGCCTCTTTCCGCCACAAAAAACTACGAAACTCGACCGAGCTCAGTAAGCACATTTGGACCCTTAAAGACAGCAATATCGACCACGACATCTCATGGAGCATCATCACACACAGCAAACCATACAACAGCACCAGTAAAAGATGCAACCTTTGCCTCAAAGAAAAATTCTTCATCCTCTACCAACCATCCAAATCATCCCTCAATAAACGCAACGAACTCGTTTCCTCTTGTCGCCATAGATCCAAAACACTCCTATGTAATTTGTAACCATACACCGTAATTAATACTCTAACTTCCGTCATCTAACTTGAAATTATACACCTTGATTAATACACTAACTTCCGTCATCATCTTGTATATATATTTTAAGCATTTAAGTATTTATTCATTAAATCCCCTGAAGAGTGAGCAATCACGAAACAGGCTTGTCGGGATGAAATTGTAGTTTTTGTGTATTTTTCTCAACACCACTACACATATTCACGCTCTGCTCTTGGGCATCGAGCACTGTTTTATACGGAAAATCATAAATTATAAACTTCCTATATATTATATATGTTGATAGGAATCATATGCATGCACTCGTGTATCTGTTACTGTGCTTACCAAAAATTCTTTAAAAACTGACATTTGGTCATGTAGAGACTTAAAACTAATATAGTTACTTAATTATCCGAAAGATTTCTGCCTTGCAAAATTTCTTCTTGCACCGTCGCTTATTTATGAATTTATTGCTCATTGACTTTTTGAATAGTTCTTTAATCAAACTTTCATATGTATTTCACAAGTCTTTGATTTCGGCGCTATATAAGAGCGTTTTCTACATCATTGATGGGACATTTGCGCGCAGTTTTTCGTCGTAGTAAATTGAAATAAAGTTATCTATTAGACGACCAAATTGCATCGCGTAGTATCACTAAAAAGGAAATTGATTTCTCATCGAAATTCTCTTGAGAACATGATTGCAGCAATTTAACGAAGGCTCGAACGAATTATCTTGCAACTAATTACATTTACCTGTATGTTATATTCTTTCTAAAAGGAGCTGCCCGATTTCACTTTAATGGGTGATCTCCCATGTGTACGCGTGCGCACTGAACGTGTGCCCATTTCGACACTATATCAATAGTTCAGCAGCTGCTAGTTTACACTCTGGTCAATTTTCTTTTTTTATGTGCGCGCCTTGTTTAATATGAGTACTCGCATTTGTATAAATTGAACACATGAGACAATTGCTTAAATTGTCCAACTACGTGCGAAGATCATATTTTCATTTAATTTCAAACACCGCACTGCATATAACATTCTTTCAAACGCAGAATATCTCTCACAGTTTTTCGACACTCATTCTGGGCTTGTCAAGAAAGGAAATCTGATTTTGAAAAGAAAGAATATTCGCCGTCACTAAGGTACATATGCGAATGTGGATTTTTTTGAAATCATTTTTTTTTCAAATACCAACTCACAGCCGTAGATTTTCTGTCTACATGAGAAACGTTTTTTTTATGATCTTTAAATTAAAAGATATTTGACTCAGTTTAATTTTCCCAACTATAAAAATCAGCTGGAAAAGTTTAGTTATAGCTGTCTTAGAATGAACATGTTGTGTTCTGTTACCTGATATTTCTAGAAGAAATAAATTTTATTTGTCACCAATACGAAACTCTACTCTTTGTGTATATCATTGATCTTTCTTCCCGCCGCATCACAGTTGATATTTATCCTCTCATTTATAATGTCTCTGAAATATTTTTTTTATCTTGCGATAACGTAAAATCTTCATATACTTTACACCGTGTTTACTTTTTTATAAGTCGAACATGAATTTAAATTACGATTATGAATATCGTCCGGTTATACCGGAGTATGTACCGACCATTTTGAATAGTTCTGCTTTGAGAGATCGCTTACCAGTCGAGTGTCATCTTCTCTATCCAAGTTTGCCTCATTTTCATAAATCACACACTTCATCTGAAGCTCTAAATGTGAGTCTCCAAATGGAGTCGAGTTGGACTTCAGTTAAATCTTTCTCCTTGAAGTTTTAGTCTAATAACTTTATCGCAAGTGATCTTAATTCTATTTGTTTTCCGTATTTCAGAATGCCACATTATTGAGAACGCCTTATTCGCCATATCATTATGCAGTCTATCAATTTCACAATGAAGAGCGAGAAACCGCGTCGTCACATTCGATTAGCAAGCGTTCGAGAAAATCTGCCTTTCTGCCCGTAACCAAAGGTCGCCTGGATTCATCTGTATTACAAGGGTTAGCCCATAGCTCTAATTAAAAAAAAATTATATTCAGTATCTTTCAAGCATTCTAACTCGAATCCTGAAAATTCAGATCATCGAGTTTGTACCTGTAACTTTACACCACCATCTTCACAATTTCCGAACAACCATCTTTCACCCGCGTCAGAAATCTACAACTGGGTTTGCTGTAAAAGTGACGGCCTTGTACGCCCACCCGAATACAATCCGATGGATATTCGAATGTCAATGTTCACGACACAATCGTATCCGATGATGACTCGATTACTTAAAGATAAGGAAAAGAGACGAGCACCAAAACGGTTACAATGCTCTCAATGTGAAAAATCATTCGGCAAGTCGTCACACCCTCGTAACCACTTTCGAACGCACACGGGAGATCGGCCTTACAAATGTGAGCACTGTGACAAGGCTTTTACGCAGTATTCAAACTTGCGGACTCACACGAGAATCCATACGGGAGAGAAACCTTAGCGCTGCACACATTGCAACAAGCGATTCACGCCAGCTGTCACGTTGCGCAGTCATACGAGAACTCATATGGGAGAAAAAGACTACCCTTGTAAACAATGTCCGAGAACATTTTCTTTCATATCTGCTTTAAAGGCGCATGCGCTGATGCACAAAGACGTGCAGGCAACGTCAGCCGATAAGATGAAACATGAATTGGTCAAACATCATTGGTCATCAAGTTTCAACGCTTTTTTTAAAGTTATTTATATTTCGAGAGGTCTCGATAGCTTTTTTTTTTTGCCGTGTGACTTGAATTGAAAGGTTTTTATTATTCATCTTCAGATTAAAAAGTACGATGAATTTACATTGATTTTCTATATATTTATCATACTATACTAAGAATGACATGTTAACTTTATTATATATATATTTACAAGATCTAGCAATAGAAGATTGTTTATGACGTTTGGTCCGGGATAAAATACTATAAGTTTTCTTTTGGATAAGGTACTAAAAAGTTGCATGGATGATCAGGCTCCTCTATAATCCTTTTGATCTCTTAGATTGTTGCTAGTTCACGTCTGCTCAATGAGGGCAAGTATTTTTTATCTAGTTGTAAAATTTTTAAACTTCTTTGTACACCTTCAATTTCTTGCTGTAAAAAATGTGGAAGTCCTGCCCAGACTGCCGATGCATACTCTAATACTAGTCTTATTTTTGATGTATATGTCAATAATCCAACATCTGAAGGTATTTGAGACTTCGTACAAAGTCGAAGATGATGTAGTCTTTTATTTGCCTTGCATGTAATCTGGTGTACATGTTCATTCCATTTAAGATCATTTTGACATGTTACGCCGAGAAGTTTGAAATTATTAACTCTTTCTATTTCCTCTTCACCAATAAATATGGGGGGGGGAGGGTTCTTGTATTGAGTCCGTAAAGCATATCCACATATCCTTTGTTTTTTTCGGATTCAGAGCCATTCTGTTATTATCAGCCCATTTCCGTAATTCGTCGACTACTTTTTGAATGGAACTGCATTCACCTCTTTTGACAATCTGATCCTGAGTGCAATTATCCGCATATTTACTTGTATTAGCATCTATTTCTTTAGGAATATCGTCCTCTAAATCATTTATATATACATTAAAGAACACTGGTGATACGACAGCGCCTTGTACGCCCAAAGGGCAAGGTTGGATGGATGACATGGCTCCTTGTAGGTTGACTTGTTGCGTTCTTCCTGTCAAAAAACTTCGAATCCATTGCCAGAAAGATTTATTAATTTCCATAGATGCTAATTTTTGTATTAATATGTTGTGATTCACAATGTCAAACGCCTTTCGAAAATCTATAAATAGTACGTGAACTCCCTTTCTTCCTAATCGAGAATTTTCTGTTGCATTATACCAATTTTGTGTCATAGATATTAGAGCAGATACAGTAGATCGGCCATGAGTAAAGGCATGTTGGTTATTCTTTATTTTGAAATCTGATTTATTCAAATGGAATTGAAGTTTGTCTATTACTTTAGCCATTTGAGGAAGGACAGGTATAGGTCTGAAGTCATTTTCAACATTGCTTGGATTATTCACTTTAGCAACTGGAGTTATTAGTGCATGCTTATATTGGCTGGGGTACTTGCATTGTTTTATACTTGTGGTTACTATATTGTGTACGACTGGTGCAAGATCTTCGCAAAAACGTTTAAGTATCCATGCCGGAATTTTGTCATCTCTGCTCCTAATTTTTTCGTGGCTGACGTTTACTTGTTTCAGTTACGGTTAGTTTTGAATAGCTGGACTTTGTATTCCTCTTTATCTAAATCCCTTAAAAGTTAACCAGCTTTATGGATTATATTGAGGCCGATGATAAATTTTTTCTCGTGTAATCTCTTGCATCGTTTAATTACATGTATTTTTGTTCCACCTCTTATATATTCTAATGACAATAAACCTGAAATCTTTGGTCATAGCACATCGTTTAGCTACATATGTGGGGGAGGGATGTGTAAGGAAAATTAGTTTGCAAAAAAATTCAAACGTATTCTTGCTTATTTAACACTTAGAGCACAGCATTATGCCCACCGCTGCAAACTCGTTCTCTTGTTGTTTTAACTATCTTCTTGTTAATCATTTCAGAGATCAATCTCTTTTCAATATTCCGAGGCGATCCTGTGAAACTTTTCAACATGGATCGATGCAAGATTTGCGTCTACTATTCAATGTTTACCTGATCTAGTTGTTTTTAGCTTGTCACGAATATAGAAAACTATTGTATCAGGCATGTATTGCAAATGAGAAATGTCTGATTTTGCTAGGGTTTGGCACATCTGTGCTGTTATTAAAGCAAGTAAAGTTGTTAGTTTTTCAGTTAGATCTTCGAGACACAAGACGGGAGGGTAATCGGCGGATTGAAATATCTGAGCACACCGCCCACATCTCAAACTTGTGTATAACGTGTTAATGACGGTTTCAACTCAAAGATACCTTTAAGAAAAGTATTATCAAAAGGTGCTCCCCAAACATGCGGTCATTATTTAGCACTAAGATAGATGATAGTGCTGAGCGTGCTGTATTTATTGCACTATAACCAAGGTTTTGGCGGTGTAGCTCAGTCAGAAATCCAAACCTCCAGCAATCCAGCATTTTCACTTGAAATATGCTGCTCATCACAGAACGTTTTCCACCTGGAAAGATAGGAGTTATATTGTGTGCTTGTGTTGTTTCTTCAAGACGCTAACATTACATTAATTGTGCCCTGATGTGGTTCGATCCTTGTTGATTTTTCCCGGATACTAGGCAAACCAGAATGCCTAACGATTTGTGCAAGGATGGATTACATGTGGTGTCTCTGGTAGACTGAGAAGAGACCGTTCCGGTTTCAAGTAGACTGGGTCTCGAATGCACATATTCATTGCTTTCGAGTACCACGACTGTATGGGCCACTTTGGAAGTATGCATACTCCCGTTGCCGCCAGTTCTTGAATGTTTTGTAAAAAAGGTCCTATTGCACTAAACGGAGGGAAACATAAAACTTCATATTGGATATTTCAACTGAGAATACGTTAACTGCCTTAGCCTCTGGGTTATGTCAGTAAAATATATAAGTAGGGAACTGTGTGTTCAGTCGTGAAGGAAACACGTCCGTGTGGGGGGAAAAAATTAAGCTTTAATAATGCCTCATTAAGGTGTTCCCACTTAAGCATCCACTCAGTATTAAATTGTCTATTTCTTGATTGAAAATCTTCGTCAGTATTTTCAATCCCTAGGACGTAAGCTGCACTAAGCTGTTTCTTACGCTCCATACACCTTCCCAAATTCTCTTACCTAAATTATTGCATTGCAGGGAATGACTCGAACCCATGTGATTAACAATAGCTACAGCGTGGTGTTATCTAGTCGTACTCTTATGTGCGTGTTTTTCAGCGACTTGCAATATGTTTGCAATCCCAGGCATAAAGCTAAAAGCTCTAGATAATTTATGTGGTTATTTTTCTCGTATAAGTTCCAAGTTCCCCCAGTCAGGTCATCATAAAACACTGCCCCTCAGCCAGTAAGAGAGGCATCAGTTGTTATAAAATATGATGGTTGACCGTGTGTAATTAAATTGTATGCCTTATCGATATTTCCTATCCACCACATTATCTCATGGCTAGATGCATCATTCAAACACAATGCATCGTCGAAATTCCCTTTCGACGTCCGAAGTGCATGTGTCTTATTTGCTTCGAGTGCACGATAAAAAAGTGGCCCATGCATCACGCCAGGGCGAGATGCTATCAGTTTACCTATTAATTGTATTAAATCTTGAATTGTCACGCGATCCGAATTTAAGATAATTTCACAGTTGCTCTTTATGGTAGCTCGTTTCTCTGCAGTTAGGCATATAGTCATGTCAGTCGAGTTTACAACAAATTCTAACAGCGTGATAATTTCATTTAGGTTAAGAGCATATTTTTCGGGGTGAATGATAAAGCCTAATGCGTCAAACTTTTTCAAAGTAGCAATTACACAAACTACGCACTCGTTATATGTTTTACCTTGGAGGAAGAGGTCATCAATGTAATTAGCAATCGTTCTAGGGCAACTGGAGAACCCATTTGGCAAACAAGTAAGTTGGTATAGAACCCGCTTCCATATAAATCGAAGGAATGTTCGATCTGCAGCGTCAACCGCAAGAGAAAAATAAGCATCTTTAATGTCTAGAGATGCCATGTAACAATTTTGTTCTATCAAGTTCGTAATAGATTGAAAAGTTTCCATTTGAAGTGGTGGCAAGTCGTGAAATCATTCAACATTTTTAAATTAAGAATAAATCTGTAACGACCATCCTTCTTTGGTCTAATGAAAACATTCGAAATGAACTCACCTTCGCAAGCTGTTTCAATGATTCCGTGTGATAGCGTTAGCGCTACTTCTTTATCTATTATATCAATGTCGCTATGAGATAACCTTTGTTTACTGCAAGATTGTTGACAAGGTGCCTCAAAGGTAAATGATAAGTACTGTTGAATAAATTTTATTTGTGTGGAAAAAACACCCACCGATAGCAGGATTTCTTCCAGCTATGTTATCATTTTGACTATTTGCTCCTAAAAGGCCCTATTTTTTGGCCTAGCCCAAAAAACTGACGTCCTTCTGTCTCAGGTGGGTTGCTGTGACCGTTCCATTGGAATTTCGCTCGTAAGGAGATCTTTCTGTTTGATACGAAGGTCAATAAACATGGGTGGTAAAAGCACCCCTCTTTTTGTTATAGCCTAAGGAGCGACTGAAGGTACAACTTTCTTTTGCATCACGTACCTTTGCATCACGTACTCCGCTAAGCAGGACGGATATGCTCTATTCGTAAGTTTGACACTTCCCCTACAGCTTGCCCAACTAAGGCAACTGCATCTATGGTGTTGGCAATAAGGGGTTTTACGCTATTTCCGTCAACATTTTGGCCACCGACCAGATGATCAAAGGTGGTTAGCAATGAAAAGGACGCTTTTTGAAGAACTGTTTGAATGTTGCTCAATCTCAAATCACTCCGTTTTCGTGAGTGCAGCATTGGATCCCAGATGTCTGGGTTTACCTTTGGCGCTGACATACTCTCGCTGTTTTCAAGCTGGTGGTACTTAGCCAATATGGTTTTAGGTTTATTGGTGGATAGTGCCACGCCCATCTCTTGTTTGCAATGTTAGCCAACTTTTCATGATTTCCCTGCCCAGTTGGGTCAACCTCATACAAACAAATTGAGTTCAATCTCTTTTAGTAGGGCTGTATCATTAAACTCGTTTTTATTACTGGTCTTACCTGATAAAGACGGGGCTGCAGTTGGCTCACCTATCTTTTGCATTTTAGCGCAATCGTTATCCAAGAAAGCTTGTATGTCCGAGTCGGACGCTGTTAAGTTCACTGAATCCTCACAGTCGTTCAGATCCGATTGGTTTTCTGAATGCTCATCATGTTTATGCCAACTATTTGAAGGTGTATTGTTCTGCTCAACCATTTGTTGTAACAACGCGGCCATTTTACTTATGTTATGATTGAGTTCCGCAATGTGCTGAGCTGTACTTGCTGCAATTGTCTCCTCACTCTGGCCGGGTCGGCCTGTTTTACTGCCAGTTTGGCTATATGTAAGCTCAGTCGTTTCAATAGACTCTACAGTTTCATCAGTTGTCCCCATGCTCCGAATTGTTGAAAAACAAGATCTGTTACGGACTTATAGGTACGAATTGTTAGTTTATAATACAAATGTATTGATAGATATGCCCCAGATAAGAGGCAACGGCGGTCTGGTCAACTTCCAGCTACTTTATTTCCAGACATTTGCATGAAATGCAAGTCTTCGAAGCCAATAACTGTCAAGGGTAAGAAGTATTTTCCAAAGAATATCCTAACGATTTCTGCATGCGATTCTATAAAACGCGCTGCTAAACTCGACAACGATGAGGACTTACTTGTACTTGTTGCCGACGACGACCTCATTGCCAGGGAGTTCAAAATGCACGAGAAGTGTTACAGAGATTACACACGCATATGTACGAAACAGAACATTAATGTTGAAAGTAATTGTACATCGACCAATGATGAAAACGACGACAGCAAAAGACGATTTGAATACCTATGCCAGTTTGTGCAAAATTGCATTATTGACGGAGAGCAATCACTATCGATTAAACTTCTAACTGAGGTATATGGGCTCGATGAAGAAGACTGTAGAATGAGGGACAAAGTAAAGCAAATGCTAATGAAGCATTTTGAAGGTTAACTTCTGTTTGTTACCGTTGCTACTAACGAGGCTCAAGTTGTTCTTAGCAAGAATGTTCTAACCAATACAAAGAAGGTTAGTGTTCTGAAGCCGAATAAGGATTTTGTTTTGAAAGAAGCCGCGAAAGTTATCAAAGATGATATCGACTTGCTAATTCAGACTGCTCCAGAGTTACCATGGCCACCCACTGTAGAGTCGCTGCAGTCGAAAGACAGACAACCTCCAGAAAACTTGGTAATGTTTCCTACAACTTTACTACATTCAACTGACCACAGTCCTAGTGAGGAAGTCATCCGATACGCTGACTCGTTTTCTCAGGACATTCTTTACGCTGTGTCCAAAAGAAAGTTTCTTACCCGAAAGCACATATTATTTAGAAATGGATTGCACAGCATCACTGGCTTGAAGAAGCCTATTACCATCTTAGCAAGGCTAGGCCATTCTTGTAACTATAACAAAGTCCAAGAAATTCAAACAGCACAAGCAAAACTTGTTGAAGGAATGAGATCTCTGCAACACCCCTTGCCACTGCTTCCAGCAGATTCTACTAGCAAGGTTAATACCTTCTTCTGGTGGGATAACTTTGACTGCAGCAAAGAAACAATCGAAGGTAGCGTACACACTTGTTACGGAGTTGCTTTTCAAGAAGAGTCTGATAAAAGCATAGAAAGAAATCTAGTATTCCAAGTGCCAAAATCAAAGAAAAGGACTATTTCTGTAGTTCCGGTTGATTTTCCAAGAAGAAAAGTAATACCGCACGAAGAGCCAGCGTCCTTTCATGGGCCCTCCATCTACGAGTACGACGATACGGATGCTTGGCGAATACTGTTGTGTTGGAACCTTCTAAGGCGAGCATGCAGTGCTACTAGTCAATCCATTTCAAGATTCGTTGGTTGGATTAGTCTAATATTTGGAAGAATTAACTCCAAACGAACAAGGATAACATTCTTACCTCCAATTTGCAATCCAATAACCGAGTACAGCACAGTACTAGAATGCATTGTTCAGTCGCAGAATTTAGCAAAGGCATCGAATATGATTTACACACATATAACTGTAGATGCTGGTGATGCAGCGAAGTTCTACCACATACTATGGAACAATCCAAAGGAATTTGATAAAGTCTTGGTACATTTAGGTGACTTTCACGGGATGATGGAATTTTTCTGTCATTGGAAAAATAGTGCAAGATGCTGGTTTGGAAGAAGTTGTGTACCAAGCAGGACTCTGTACCTCCGGAGGAATCAAAGGTGTTTTGTCTGGGAAACATTACAATCGGAGTTGGAGGATTCATGAATGTTTTGCGGAGGCAATTGAGAGACTGTTTTGCGAAGCTCTAGTCAGTAGTTGTCCAGATGAATTGGAAACAATGATTAAGGAGATCGTAACAGACGTGGATTGCAAAGATATTATTTCGCAAAGACCATTCAGAGCGTACGAAGAAGAATACATGAAGAAAAAGATGGAATGTCTTCAGGGCCACCACGGGAAAACTGCACAATTCTGGATGAGCCACTTGGATCTAATCGAAAGGCTACACGAACTGCACTTCTCAGTTAACACGAATGACTTTCAACTGAGACTTCACTGCTGGAGAGAGTTAATCTCTCTCTGCTTTTCTACCAACAAGCAGAACTATGCACGTTATGGCGCATATTATTGCCTTCAGTCTGAGAATTTGGACAAGACGCACCCAGGTGCACTTAAAGAGCTGAAGGACAAGGGATTGTTGGTATGCCGTAATGATCTAAACATCAGACAAAGTATTGATGGTGCAGGAGAGCAGACGTTTATGAAGAGCTCAAAAACCACAGGTACTTTTTCTCCATGACATTAATATATTTAATTAATATTTCGTTATATATACATGTGCATATTATTGAAGGTTTATGTTAACTATATTTGTCCATTCTCTTTATAGGTGGTATCAAGAACTTCACAACCCTGGATAGTGCTTACAAGAAGTGGGTTCTCACACGACCATGCCAAGCTGAATATGTCGACGCACTTCTCAATCAAGCAGGGGTAAACAAGGTCCAAAATAACCCGCGAAAGTGTTTACGTCGTTCGCAAATTACGAAATCGGAGAATAACGTCAAGGCCATTATAAATGTGTTAAAGAATGACTTTATCGATCCTTTCAGCACTGACTTGGACCACGATAAGTTGTACAACCTTGCCTCCGGTAGCTATTTACCTGATGACGTAGCAGAGTTCTTGTCTGTTAAAGAGCGTGGAACATTGTCGAGAGGCACATTCTTTGAGCGACTAAACTCAGAACGTGCCAATGAAACCCTTTATTTCAGTCCCATAAAACGAGTGGAATGGAAGAGTTTTACGGACGTAAGTAAGAAGCTAAAAGTTTCGACGAAAGGTAAATCTAAGGAAATAACTGTTCAGCGGGACATTCTTGGTATTCTTGCTGCCATGTCACAACAACAGAATGCTGCGATCAACATCGACAAAGCTCTGTGTTACCCCTTTGCACCAGTCCCACTATCCATAGCAACATACGATGGCATTAGGAGAAAGACCGCTAAAAGCATGTTGTTCGATGCAGCGTTACGATCATTGATTGAAAACGACGCGCAATTTCCCGACGATCAATATGCTCATAGAATCTATATTCTAGGTATCGCAGCTATTATTCGAAGTACGGTGAAGGTACCGAACACGTTTAAAGATGTTACTTTACGACTGTTGTCAGATCTTCCAATGCGGTATAACATCGTTTACGTTGCATGTGATACGTACAGGGATCGTTCGATAAAGAACAGTGAACGAGACCTTCGAGGTGATGGCGACAAGTTTGTTATTAGAAGTGCGAATGTGCGCGTAACAGCTGATTTCAAGAAGTTCCTTGGTAACGGAGACAACAAAGAGCGACTTTTTGAGCTTATCGAAGAAGTGTGGGTTCGAAATAGGAACCAACTAGGACAACGTGTTATATACTTCGCTAGGGGGGACGCCTGCCTCAAGATAACAGAAAACGGTTCTTCTTGTGTAAGAGAACTAGCAACAGACCACGAAGAGGCTGATACTAAGATCGTGTATTTGATTAAACATGCATCCTACCATAGCGATGGTCAACAAATAGCCTGTGTGGTACGATCAAGTTCCGGCGACATCGATATTCCCATAATTTTACTTGGAATGGAGCCAATCAGCAATGTGGCAATCTACATCGACAACGGTTCTGGAAAGACGCGAAAGCTCCTTCACTTGAACGTGTGTAGTCTAACTAATCAACAAAAGAAAGCATTAGTTGGCCTCCATGCATTTACCGGAAATGATTATGTGGCAAGCTTTCTACGTAAAGGCAAGCCTTTCTGTTGGAAACAAGTGAGCAAAGATCCAGAGTTTTTGGACATTTTTTGCCGGTTGGGAATGGAAATGCATGTTCCTGAGGAGATTCTTATTGCCATGGAAAGATTTGTATGCTTCTTGTATGGAGAGAAGAAAATCGAACACGTTAACGAGGCAAGGTCAGCTATTTTCTGGAAAAAGATGAACAAAGAGCGTAAAGTAGTTGACCTTTCTCTCTTACCACCATGTAGCAGCAGCCTACGAAAGCACGTGACCAGAGCTAACTATGTGGCCAGGCTTTGGAGAAAAGCACAGCATCCAATTATGGCATTGGAGGATCCCCAGTTCCATGGTTGGCTCCCGAACTTGAACATCGATTGGATCGCGGAAGCATATCCTGACGACGTTGCCGAGCTACTTGTCGAACGTGATGAGGAAAGCGATGAGGAAAGTGATGACCAAGAAGACAGCAGTTCAGGCGACGACGAATGATACAGCTATAGGTACTGTATGTGATTTGAATTATTTAAGAAACTGCATCAAAACTAGTAGTGTTTATTTACATTTAATGTTAAGATTTATATCAAATTACAAAAATGTTTGCATGAAAACTTGGCTATATTGGGGGGAGGGGGGGTGGGGGTGGGGGTGTCTTGCCATTTGAATTATACTGCACTTCTAATTCTAAAACTGGTCCAGTGTACGTCTTTTTATTATTATTATTAATAGGTAGGTATCACGTCTGTGCTTTTATTAATAATAATAGCTAAATCTTAAAAACGTTTGATTTTGCATGAAAATGAGGCTGAATTGCGCAATACTGGAAATAACTCTTAAAAGCAGCCTTGTCGGACTGAATAACATGCGGATTCGTGTTCTACCCCAAAAACTGGTCTAGATAGTCCTACTCCCGTAAATTACCCGCTCAGGTGATACCTACCTCACTCACCGCCTGGACTATTGAAGGTCTTCGATGTTACGGCTACGAAAGGCGAACGTACAATGGCTATGGAAAAGCGCGCCCGTGCTTCTCATGTTAATCCGTAGTGACGTGCTGATGACAGGAAAGAATTAATATTATGACATGCATGATTACTACATGCAAAATTATGCAAATTATGTTAGGTCAAAAAGGTCAATACAGCTAGCTGATGAATTTGTGGCTTTCGCTTCAAATTTCAAGTCAGTATAAGCTCGGGTCTCTATAACCTTCGGGCCAAGCGTTTTACGTATATATATCAATATTCGAGGAACACTGAACAATATGTCACAAACTTCCCTCATCGAAGACCGAAAGAAAGGTACTGTGTTCCGTTGAAAATGTACATACAAATCAATTTTCATATTAATGCCATTCGCCAATGGTGTTTTGGCTAAATTTTTCATGGCAACGACAATGCATGTTCATTTTTGTGAATAATATGAGGATCTTTACTATTACTATTACTGCAACTGTCGGGTAAATGAAGATTGCTCGAAATGATGAATGAAAGAGAGCTCACTGATGCTGATGTGTCATACAGTGTATATAAATTAATGTATGTTGGCCGTTTTTATGCTTAGAAAGGCAAATACGTCTGGACAGTAATACGTCCAACTGTATGTAAACTGTCAAGCACAAAGAATGGTCGACTTACCACAAAATCGATGACTAAAACCAGTGGCGGATACAGGCCAATCGTTTACCTCCCTCAAAGTAGCATTACTATGAGTGCTCGTTTTAGCGCCGCAGCGCTGTAACTTTTTTTGATCGTAAGAGCAGCGCGGTAACAGGGGGCGGCGCTTAAAAGAAGCAGTGGCAAAACAAGGATTTCGGATTAAAGAAGCACTTAATACAATCAATAATTCTGACTGTTTCGCTCAATATCAGAGCTCATCAGCATGCCTAGGCATGCTTCTAAAAAGCAGCCAGACATGGACAGTCAACTTGACTGCCATTTAGTTAAATGGTTGCGAAACTTTGCCTTAATGATGCTATTATTTTAAGTTTCTTGTTTTCATGTTTGATGTTTGATTGTTGTTAATAATGACTATACGAACTTTAATCTTGTGTTATCCATAGCAAATCTGTCGATAACTTCTGACGTTTCGGGCACAATTTCTTGATGAACTCTCATCATGGCCAAACCGTTTAGACGCTCTGAAACCATCGTACTTCGCTTATAATTTTTCAGTTCGCGCAAAACTGAGAAAGAGCGTTCGCATTCGCAAGATGTGATAGTAAGGGTTCCAAGAATACGAAGAATAATTTTGATGTTTTCAAAGCCTTCAAATTTTAAAGCTTTTAAAGTTGCTGAAATTGAGTCTGGAATGGTTCCTTCGTAATCAACCCAATAAGTTTCCCAAAGCAAAATCTCTGAGTATAAGGCCAATGGAATGGGTAGGTCATCGTGATAAAAATTGGAAACAACTTTGAATTTTTCTTTCCAATTCATGCCATTGTTAAGAAGAGAAATCATTTTATATGGTACAATGCTAAGCCCATTGTACACATTAACGCTATCAGTATTGAAACGAGCTTTCAACGCAGAGTTTAGGTGGTCAACAAGTGGAATAGAAAAAATTCTTTTATAGTACTCAGATGTAGTTTTATAGGGGACATTAGCTCGTGTTGTCTGTCTTCCCACTGTCCTTGGCTTTGCTTCATCAATATCTAATTCTCGAGCCAGTGCGAGAGACTCTTCATACCATGTATCGTGATACTTATCAATGGAATTCGTAACATTAACAACAAAAGTTTTCAACGATGTAATAAGATGTAAACCATCCATAATGTCAATACTCTTCCCTTGAAGAAGCTGAGTAACACCAATTGTAGAATCAAACACATTTCTACAAATAACCAGGGCAACAACAAAATCAAACTTTTCCAAAAGATCAAGAAGTTCAGAGGCATCCGAAGAAACATTGAGACTGTGATCTTTATCTACATTTTTCTTCATTTCTCTCAACGTTTTAAAAAACAGGAATAAGAAGCTGCTGGAAAGTATCTAAGCCGTCGATTCTCTCAACCCACCTAGTTCGACACACATCTATTAATTTCTTTTTCCTACCGGCTGATAAAGAACCATGAAGGTCAATATTCTTTTCTAAAGGTATTTGTCGTGTAGGGGAAATATTAAAAAAATCAGAAACTTTTTTTAACTCTATTGAGCATCGATTTTACATCCATTATATTAATAGACTCACAAATCGCTAAATTTAATCTGTGGCTGTAGCAATGGGTAAAAAGAGCCTTATCATTCAAACGACGCAAATGAGCAGCCATCCCATTAATATGACCAGCAACAGCACCTGCCCCATCATATCCCTGTCCTCTACAATCAGCAATAGAAAGACCAAGGTTGCCTAAAGCATCAAGAACAACCTTAGCAAGCTGCTCACCTTTTAAGCCTCATTTACAAGGAAGAAATCCAACAAACTCCTCCCTAATATCTATATTTTGGTCGATAAAACACAAAACAAGAGACATCTGTTCAGTATTTGAGATGTCTCGAGCCTCATCAGCAATTACAGAGTAGAACCTGCTTGCTTTTAAGTCAGAAATGATTTTATCTGTTATTACTTCACCACAGCATTTAATAAGCTTGTTCTGGGAAGTTTTAGAAATATACGTCTGATTCCTACCACATGAATTCAGATGGTCCTCTAACACCTTGTCCCCAGCACACACTCTAAAATTAAGAAGTTCAACAAAATTCCCAACACCACCTGCAGAAAAATTACCAGTTTCAGGATGATAGTGCCCATCATCACGATGACCTCTAAAGGCTAAGCCCAAACGACCACATGTTAAGACCGTATCGGTAATTGAACTTAATTTAGCCCGGTTACCTTCAACTTCTTTCTTAACCTTAGAATCAATAATAACATTAATGCCTTTTGTTTTACCAGACATGTTAGATTTGAAGGCAGAATAAACTGGAAATGTAGAAGCATGCAAACCATTCAAACCATGAAAACTCATTTTGCCATCACTCTCTTTGCCATCATGACGTTTTAGCATTTTGGATGCATCTGTCCAACGACGAAGTGGCTGAGAGAATAGGTTGGAAATTTTTGAGGCCTTATCTTTAAAATTATCACCAAAAAGGACACATGGCAAACAAAAACCCCCATCCAAGGATGGAGAATAACATAACCATTCATACCTTTCTAACCAATCATAACAAAAAGATCTTCCATTCGTTTTTGGGAATTCAAAATTTTCATCTGGTCTATAAACATTTACTATGAGATTGTAAATTTCCCCATTGCTCATGCCTTTTCTTTTTTCTCTGAAAGTTGCAACATCAAAATTAAGGGGAATATGACAGTCAACAAGAGAAGAAGCCTCACTAAATGACACTATTTTATCAGAAGGGGTTTTTTTGTAGCAAGTTGCATCAAGAGAAGAAGACTTGTCAATACATAAGGTGCTAAGGCTAGACTTATCAGTTTTAAAATTACTGTTAGAAGGTTTATCAATGCAAGACAGCTGGAAGAATCGCTTAATATCTTGGTGTTCTTGTAGAGAAGAGTTGTCAGGATGCTTGCGCTTTTGTTACACACTTTATGTTTTCATTTTTGTTGAGCAAAGAAGAGGAACATAATGGTTTGGCAAAAAGCTCTCGCCAGACTTAACCTTGCCTTCATAGCAGAATAATATGTGAACAGCAACATCCTTCACAATTGCTTCATTTGCCAAGCGAGGGTTTACATGTCTATCAAAAAGTAATTTGGGTCTTATGTCCCCACAATCTGGATAATAAGTAAATATTTCATTACCAATAACTGATGATAAGCCCAGAATACACAAGAAAGGTGACCAGGTACCATCATAACAATTTAAAATAGCTTCTTGCTTAATTAAATCCTCATTCTTTAAGGAATCTAAACATGAGGCCGATACTGATAATGGCAAAAGATTAACAAGACTAAGGTCATGGTGCTCAGTCACTGCCAAAGAAAATGCAGGATGTTTATTGTAAAAATCACAATGAAGGTATAGCTCAAGGGAAGTCAGTATTTTTAAAATACTTACTAAGCTGTTGTCTCCTACAAGCAGCAAAGATACTGAGCTGTAAAGACAATTCCCTGATGCTTGAGATCTACAAGGTTCAAAATAATCCCTCTTTAGTTTAAATTTCTTTTGTGTTGTACTAAACAGCGTAACTTTAAATATTAAACATCCAATAATGTTATATTACGTATTTAAAAACAGCTAAGCACATGTAACATTGCCATATAAAGTTATTCATTCAGATTCTTAATTTTCCTTACATAAATAGTATACCAGTATTTCAGTTAAATTTATAAGTTATTATTCGCTTATTTAATTGTTCGAATAAAATACAAACTTCGATTGGTAAACGAAGGATTTCTGCACTGGCAAGTAATGCAAAATATAAGAATTACAAAACATCAGATATTGACAAGCTTATTAAAAATTCAGATAAAGCATCGTAATCGGACAGAAGTAGAATAAAAGCTAAATTGAACAGCCATATCAACACATCGTTACCTGATTGCAGTGTAGATCTTTCCCTGCGATTTCATACTGCTTGGAATATATGTCTCAGCGACAATATGCCGGTACAGTGAATTGCCCAGTTTTGATCGAAGCAAGTAAGATGAACATCTTGGCTTTGAATTCAACTGCCCGCGTAGCTCGTTGTACAGAAGCAACAGAGCTTCTTTGTTGTTGCTGTTCATTGCCTCTTGGGCTTCTAGAAAACAATCTCTATCCATTTTCAGAAGAAATTGCGTGCGGTAAATGTTAACGATACTAGTATCTCGAAAGTCGAAAGTCGAAAATAGTGAGGTACGCTTGCTGTACTTGAGGGAGTTGATAAAATGCACCAATAAAATGCACTGTTAGAATAAACATGGAACATCGTAACCAATCATAGACATTATTCCAAACAAAGTTCAAGGTCAAAAACCAGCTAGTGCCTCAAAATATTCTCCTTATGCCTCAAAATTTTCCTTGGTACCTCAAAATTTCCTCAAGTCCCTCAGAAACCATGGTAACTGCAAGTTTTAGCCAATCAAAATGCTCATTCAAGCTTGGGTACCTCAGTAGCCGCTCACAAGTACCTCAAAAAAATCGCTTTGCTTCAAAAAGCAAACTATAAAAACTGGAATCTACGGTGGCCGGTACGGGTCACGACAAAATAATTTAGAAAACATAACAAACAATAAGAAAACATCACTCAAAATCATACTACACATTTCAAAATACTCACTACACATTTCAAAATACTCGCTACACATTTCAAAATACTCGCTACACATTTCAAAATACTCGCTACACATTTCAAAATACTCACTACACATTACAAAATACTCACTACACATTTCAAAATTCACTACACATTTCGCTACACATTTCAAAATTCTCGCTACACATTTCAAAATACTCACTACACATTCGTCCCAGTCTTACCCTGGTCTGGCCTGCCCACGGTCGTCATTAGTTTACATCTACGAAATTGAAGTGATGGCAGAAGCTAATATAAATATACGTTTCCGATATTACTAACAGTTCAGTTCGCGTAAGGATATTTTGATGCTATTGTGGCGATATGTTGTCTGTGTGGAATTCGGCACATAGACAAACATATTGCCACAATAGCATCAAAATATGCGATACGCGTACATGAACTATTAGTAATATTTCTTCTAGGGATTTCTTGGTCTTGTTTAGACAACACAACATGAGTGGTCAATCTACAGATTACATGTAATTGTATTTGTATTGGTGATATTCGACAGTCATTAGTTTAACTAATGCACTTATTGACGTGACTGGTATTGAAGTTCTAAATTTATTGCGTTTACTCGAAATTACCGAACTTTTCATTTTCTTTGGCGTTTCTTGTGCAACAAATTATATCACTATGTGTAAATTTCCTCTTTGGTTTCCTTGTTATTTTTGTAACGCATCACACCAGTACGTACGCGACATAGCGAATGCAAATTCATATACTCAAATTTTTGCTATTAAAGTACGGACATGTGTCGAAAGCCACTGCAAATACATTTGCTGGCGATATGTAGATCGTCTACTAATGTTGTTGCCCGACCAAGTCCAGCAAAACCCTGGAAGAATTTCTGATTAGAGTTGAGCCAATATTTTCATGCTATTATCCCAATGTCCCATTTTGTTTGCCTTGTGAAATGCGGAATTATATATTTAATATGCTTACTTTATGATGTCATGTCAGTTTCGTAGATGGAAACTAATGATGACCGTGGGCAGGCCAGACCAGGGTAAGACTGGGACGAATGTAGCGAGTATTTTGAAATGTGTAGCGAGAATTTTGAAATGTGTAGCGAGAATTTTGAAATGTGTAGTGAGTATTTTGAAATGTGTAGTGAGTATTTTGAAATGTGTAGTGAGTATTTTGTAATGTGTAGTGAGTATTTTCAAATGTGTAGTGAGTATTTTCAAATGTGTAGCGAGTATTTTCAAATGTGTAGTGAGTATTTTCAAATGTGTAGCGAGTATTTTCAAATGTGTAGTGAGTATTTTGAAATGTGTATTATGATTTTGAGTGACGTTTTCTTATTGTTTGTTATGTTTTCTAAATTATTTTTCTGGTGACCCGTACCGGCCACCGTAGGAATCAGATTTGAGTATTTTGCGATCAGATACTGAACGCTGATCGCAAATAGTAACTTAACTCAGTTAACTGGACTAAAACCTATGATCTCAATTATTACGTAATTCTTTGAAAATTTTATGTACCTCGCGTGAGGGTCTTGAGGTACCCTAGATCCGCCACTGACTAAAACCCCTCACGAGTGAATACGAGTAACATACGAATACATGGAAGTGACATACGAGTGCACACGAGTTACATTGGACTACATACGAGTATCATACAAGTACATACGAGTACATACGCGTCACAAATAAGAAATTTGATACTTTGTTCAAAGTTAGTTTGACTACTGCTTATTTTCGTCTGGGGAGATTATTAGATTGATTTAAATGCTGAAAATGTACTTCATTTACATATAACATTTATTGTATGTTTTAACTCAATTTGGTATCAGTTTAATCTGCATTGCAGACTATATATCATTATAAATAGTCTGCAATGCAGGCTGATATCCTTTAATATGTTGTGCATAATATCTAAGTTTATAAATGTGTTTGAATGTATCAATAACGGTTGTATTGCTCAGAAATTTTCGTAGAGTTTCAGCAGTACATAAAACCCCATTATTATACGTTTTTAGGCGATGGAATTTGCTATTATTTCTACCAGAGAGATACGAGCTAATATCAATCTAGTAGGGAAGCAATCAAATTGCTCATTGATTAACTCATTATCCACTTTTATAATGTAATTTATAAACTAGAAGATACTATAGGGAGGGGAAGGGCTGCCCCAGCGTACTTGTCAGCAATTTTTGCAAGGTACAGTTAGATACTCTTAGGAGCAAGACGGGTGAATAGCATATATAGGTGGTTTGTTGTTTGAGCAAATATTGCAAATTAGCTTAAATAAAGTACTTTAAGACGTTCTCATAAACTTCATACGTTGTGCTCGCGTGATATGAATGGGAGACAAAAAAATTTACATGCCTGTGCGAGTGACTTTTGACAATGCGTTGGCAAGGTTTATTTAAATGTTTATCAATCAATATTTTGAATTTGCTCCATTTTTTAATCCCAGGTTTGGCGGTTTGCCATGTTTAGAGCTTTTTTTACCGTTATTGATGTTAAAAGGAAATGAACATAATGAACATATTTCTAATCTAAGGGTATTTGGATGCCTAGCTTATGCTTACGTGCCTGCAAGTCAATGAAAGAATTTTTCAGACAAATCAAAGAAGTGTATCTTCATCGGATATTCCGAAGGGACAAAAGGCTACAAATTGTTTGATGCACTCAGTCAAAAGATTTTTTGAAGCAGGGATGTTGTCTTTCTTGAGGATTGGTGAATCGCATGGAATTCATCTTCATCAGCACCTTCAACCAGTGGGAGCGACATTTGAAGAAAATTTTCTTAGAGAAGCTCAAAGAAGTTTGTATCATTGTCTGATGATGAGAAGCCGGTAGATGTTCAAAAATATCAAATGGCTATAAGTTGCTTAACATATGCAACTGTTGCAACTCGTCCAGATTTAGCTGCGGCCGTCGCAACTTTATCTAAGTATATGTCCAGACCAGGTAAAGATCATTGGCAAGCAGTAAAAAGAGTGTTTCGTTATATCAAAGGAACGATGGAGTATGGTCTTTTGTTTACTGCAAATGGAAAAGATTCTGGTTTGTGTGGTTTTGCAGACGCCAATTGGGGCGGTGCTATAGAGGCAAGACGTTCTACATCATGGTATGTTTTTCAAATTCAAAACAGCACGATAAGATGGTGCAGTAAAAGAGAGACATCTGTGTCAAGATCTACAACTGAAGCCGAATATATCGCTTTGAGTTCAGCTTCACAAGAGTGCATCAGACTAAGAAGACTACTGAATGATATTGAATTGTTGAAACCTGTCCCCACAGCCATTTAGGAAGATAATCAAGGTTCTATTCAATTGTGCAAGAATCCTAAACTTCATAAACGCACAAAACACATCGACATATCCTATCATTTTATTAGAGAGCAAGTTAATAAGAACGCAATATGCGTAAATTATTGTCCTACAGAATCAATAATTGCTGACATTATGACTAAACCATTAAGCAAGCCTACATATAAACGTTTTAGAGATCCCTTGGTGTAAAACAAATCTAACTTAATGAGTAATTTAGTTGATCGTTAAGTGGGAGTGTTAAAAGGAAATGATCATATTGTATAACTCTCAACTAGACCCAAGACTATTAATCACGTGACCAATGTATTTATGTTTTTGTTGTTCCGTCTTGTAAAAGAGCACATGTTATATATTAAAAACATATTCTCAATTATCATGGGTTGAACTGTTTTATCTAACATTCTAATTCAAACAATTGATACATTTAAACAATAGTACCCTTACAATACTTCCGTTATATAGTTATTCAAACTTTTTTGTAAAATTAGATTTTATGCACAACAGATACCAAATTGAATTTAAAGAATGTGTGTCAAAAAGTTGCATTGCGCGCTTTTGTTTGTGCTTTTATCGTTACTTTTTGATTGCGGCACGCTGTCATCAATTTCGCTACTACGTCGTCTAATTTGTTTGAAAAGTTAGCAAAAAAAGCATTGATTGAAAACTCTATTTTGTAATAAGTACTTTTGTTCGTCGAATCGTCTTAGTTGCACGGACTACTGTAACAAAATCCGCCATTTTCTCGATCCACAAAATGGCCGTCACGCCGTAGAGATTATAAATAATACTAGAGGTGGCATCGTAATATAATCTATAGTTCAAAATATTGTACGCGTTTTTGGGGGGCAAAATTCATTCGCGGATGTTAAGCTACAGTGGTCAACCATCTTTTCTCACTTTTTTGTATATATTATGCGTAAATACCATATTAAATACTATCACAATCTAATTGTTGAACAATGCTTTCCTTTTTTTCTTAATTTTAGGTGGTTTAAGCCACTCGTTTTTGTCAAAACTTGTTTGTGTTTCTTTTAGACTCTCCGCAAGGCGTTGATTGATAAGAAGTTCTTTTTCGTCTTTAATTCAACTGCTAACAGACTTCAAAAAAGACATATTTGTCATCCATACCGCAAAAATGTTAAAAATGGTTAAATTATGTGAATATGTGGGTTGTAAAAACAGAAAAACAAAAAAGAATAACATAAGTTTTCATTGCGTGTATTTTAATTAAAACATACAAAGCATACGGAGATTATAAACAGCATACAATCATTTTAAGAGCTCGCTATAAAGAAGCACTAACGCAAAAAAACTTATTAAAGTATGTTCACAAAGAATCCAAAACTCGAAGCAGACGGGAAAAACATCATTTGTTTACTTCGTGTTTTTGTCTGGAACCTAAATTTGCCCCCCAATTCACGCGTCGCCTAAATTCTTCATCAATGCCACCCTATTATTATTTATAATCTCTATGTGTCACGCTGTGATTAACGCGCAATACATCTTGGTTGACCACATTCTTTAAACATACAAAGGAATGTTGTATGCAAATGATATACCTATTCAGCAAATAGTCTTCACGGACGAATACAAGCAGTAATCAAACTAACTTTAAAAAAGTATCAATTTTCTCATTTGTGACTCGTACGTACTCGTATGTCATTCGCATGGACACAGATGTCACTCGTGTGTGTACCCGTTTGTTACTCGTATATGCCACTCATATTTACTCATGTGGTGTTTTAGTCACTATCAGCATAATCAATTAATAGAGACAGGTTTGCAGCTTTAATTTGTCGAATCGTTGCTTTAGCTAATTCTTTATCCTTCCGACGATTTAAGTGACACATCGAGTTAAGAAATCCATCTTAAGTCGTCCAGACGTATTATCCGCCTAAAAACGGCCAATGTTAGTCATTCGGTGAGAAGTTTTTTGGGTTTTGAGCGAAGAGCTAGTAAGAGTTGAAAGACCATGTTTCCAATAAACGCATGGACATATATCAGCAGCTGTATTTCTTTTTTTTTTTGCCATAGCAGTGGTGATAAATATTCTTAACAAATAACTAAAATCCGATCAGTATAATTTAAGATTAAAATTATTCAATATAAAAACAAATCGTTAAAAACTACCTTGACACCGCAGCGTTTCAAATAACATGTAATATTACATGTTTGGAGATGTAGATCTTCCAGGTTAGTATAGTCCTGAGAAAAACTGTTTCTATTGTTGTTGACAGATCTTTCGACAACCTTAGAGTCAAATGAAGAGTAAACGTCAGGTTTTGCCTCCCCCCACCCGCCTCTTAATAGTTGCAAAAAATGATAATGGCAATGACGATACTAGTGTTCATGATTATTTGATTTTTGGAGTCCGCAGAATGTGCCTCATTATTTCCATCAAGTTATTTATGTATCATGTGAAAAGAAAAGACATTTGCTTAATATGCCTATAGCTAAGAAAAATGATCAAAATTTTGTATTTAAAAATACGTTACGGCTCCCTCTTCATTTATATTTTTTTTGAACTGACCATATTTAAATCACTTTATACAATCTTCCACGTCTTATTATAGTTTCTTTAAAATTTTTCCCATTAATCAGTCTGGCTTCTTACTGCCGCCATCAATGAAGTATTGATACCTCATGAACACATACCTTTCTAAAATGCTCTAGAAATGAAATCGGACTATAGCACTCCACTAATAGAAAGGAAAAATACGAATGGAGAAACGCAATCTTCTGCGACCTCATGTCTAAAGGCAAAAAAGTCTCCATTGAACCCATTGATTCGGTACGTTGCTAAAACACTCTCTGGATCAATTTAAACTTTTGATGATTTATGTGTCATTTGTGTCAATTAACTTGTAATTTTCCTTTGCCAATCTTATTAGAGCTGTCCGACGAGGCATTCTGATGACGCAGCGATATCTTGAAAAGACAAAGAATGAGCACCTCAGTATTGCAGACAGCGATGACATACGTAGAAATATATTTCATCTCAGTGTCCAAAGAGAGGAGCTACTGGAAATTCTTTTAAAACATTTTGAGAAGGTACGTATTATGTCGTGGCCATATACGATTGTGATAAAAAAATATTACAAAAAATTGAATTAAAAGGTTTTTTATTGAGGACGTTGCCTAACTATAAAGACATCTTCAGATTCTAAGGCGAAAATATTAAAATGCTTAATGTCAGTGGCGTAGCTAGACAAAAACAACTGGTCGTGCTGTAACGAGAACAAACATGAAGTTCCTGTACAGTTGGTGGCAACATAAGTTGTCTGTGCCGCCGTTTATGTACGCTTTAATGTGCGACTTTGATATTTCATACTTTTGGCAATCGCCCAGTAAATTATGCATGATAACAATTTTAGTCAATGTTGTCTTTGATTGATTTCCACGTTCACGGACAAGAATAAATCCAATAACACAGTAAAACGATGAATAATTCGACAATATTTGAAATACTCGTGCTAATAAACTTTGGCACGACCAAAGGAAAATATTCGGCAATTGAGCATGCGTACGACGCAATGCAGCCTTATATATTATTAGTAATTTATGTTTTGGTCATTCTCGCCTGATCACAGCACGACCAAACTAGAGCTGGCTATAACCACTTTAACAGGCCGTAAGGTTTTCTAGCCAATCAGCGCTTAGGAATATATAATTTGGTCATGCCGGCCTGAGTAGAGCACGATCAAAAACGGGCAAATGCTGTTCCATGTGCTTATAGGCAATGATTAGGGCAGTTTTCGGGCGGAAACGTGATATAGTGTAAGTAATATGAAGTACATATTTCAAAACGCAAATGAAGCGTTAGAAAAAGATTTTGTTTTCGCTAATATCTGTTAACCTTATAAACAAATATTGAAATTTTAGTGGGTTAAAAAAATCTTAGTTTGAAAAATGTTTGGACGTCCTCAGCACGACCAGGACGACCTCTGGCAACGCCACTGCTTAATGTCCACTTTTACACATATAGGCGTAGGGGAGCTATCGTTTCTGTGGGGCAGTAAATGATTTCCCCAAATCACAATGGGAAGACGGAATTTTTGACTTGAAATTACACATGATACTTTCTTTTTTCGCTTGAAAAATGTTGATAATTTGCCCGACTTTTGAGTCTTCAAATATACGCTTTGCTTGTAGAAATTAAAATGTTGCCTACGTAAATATCAGAAGTTATATACATAATTGCTGTTTGAAGTCGAATTTGCAGAGTTAATACTTTTTGCAGAAAGTCAAACACTCTCCAATCGAAATTATTAATTATGGGATTTTATTGCTTGTTCATTATGACTAGAAAGTAACCATGTATGAAGTTTGAGCCAGAATCGCTGTTGCAATCCAAAATTTAATAGGCAGCAAGTTTTGTTTTAAGAGTAATATTGCTTAAAATAAAACTGAAATCAAGCTTGCAGCAATTTACGTAGCTCTTTCCAGTTGTACAATTTCATAAATTAATTTCCCATGCTTGAATTGTCGTTCACGAGACTCGAGATTAAAGGCTTATGAGCACGACAACGAGAATAGCATTGATTGAATTTCTTCCTGTTTTATTCTCTTTTTTTCAACAGCATGAACAGCTCATGGAAGCTCTCCACAGTGAAGATTTGAATGGTCACACGCCAGCTCATGTTGCTGTATTGCACAGTCAAAGAAAGGTATTTGAAATCTTTCCCTTTCATCATAATCTGCTCTTTAAAGACGATGACGTAGAACCTCTTAAAAATTGAAAGTTTGTTCCGAGAACTCCTATATCTTTGAACCTCCGGAAAAGGCAATTCGCCTTAGCTGTCTGTCGTTATTTGAGATTCTCTGATGAAGAACAGTGCTAAATTTTCAAAAGTATAAGGAAATAACATAATGCCTACGATAAGAAAACAATGTTTGGTTTTCAATGCACAAGTTAAACCGTGTTCAAAGCAATATTAACAAAATCTGTTCGACGAGGAGCGGGACATTGCATCACATTTATGGTGTCAATGTGCTTCCACTTTTTATACCATTCCTAATTTCTTTCGATTTTGGGTTTGCACTGATCTGCTCTTAACTTTCCCAAAGGTCTCTTCGGTTTGCATAAGCCAGTGCAAACATACTACACATCTTTTGTTTCTTAAATATAAATCTGGCAAAAACGTCAAGCGATCAAAATTATATGATCCACCCTGCTTTGCAGTCTCTAGTTTAATAATTGCTGTGTCTCTCCATCCCAAAAACAATTTTCTTCTGCCGTCTCCTGATCAAAAGCTTTCATTAAGCATCATGATTTTGTCCGTATATTCTATTTTAACAAGAGCATCAATCAGTGAAATGCCTAAAAAAGTTTCCAACTTGTAAATATTAGCATATTTAGACCATTGCCCGCAAGGTTTTTATGAAATAAACCATCTATCTGACTGCCTATCTATCTGACTAACTGAATCAATTTAACATGAACATCAGCTGCCAGCCATTAGGGGTTAGTTATTTATCCTTTTAATAAACAATAGCAGTTTGAATTATTGATTTAAATTTTCATTTTGACCTATTTTTGGCTTCAACTTATAGATAGGCTCAATTCCAGTGGTGCAAAGCGTGCTTCGACTTGGTTGAACGACTCGTTTGATTTTTTTCTTCTGATAGCAACAGTACTATTTTCTTTTTATAGAGCCTACAAATTCTTGCTGGTGTGGATGAGAATGTTTACGCTCTTCGTAGCTCTAAGAATGGACAGACATTGATTCATTGTGCTGTTGATTCGTGCAATCCATACATCGTACAAGATATTCTTTCGGTTCGTCCAGAATCCCTCTTTGATAAAGATGATGAAGGAAGATCACCTCAGCATTATGCCGCTGCTCTTCAGGAATCCTTTCTTTTGGACATTCTCCTCTCGCGCGGTGCAAACATTTTGGAAACGTATGTATAATTAGACAAAGACGTTTGGAGAGTTGTTGGTTAATTTACTTACATAAAACGTTTCCATAGTAGCTATAGTTAATTGTGAGGATGCAAGTTTGCAAATAGCATTTGCACTCGATGGACTCGAGAATATAACTAGTGATAAAGATAATGCAAGAGATTTTCTTACAGTTCTTTTAGTTTCGATTCGAAAATGTTTTTGGACATATTCATATTTGATTTTCAATATTTATATTGTTTGTTTGTAAATAGGGAAATATGAATTCACCTTAATCATAGTACCAAAGATATAGTGCTAAAGCACTTTGAAAAGAATAAATCTCAACAAATTGAATCTGTTGTATGCACAATAATGAGCTATTTGCATCTACCTCATGGAGAACTGAATTTCTTTAGCTGCTCTATATAATTGCATAAATACGATTGATTTTTGAAAATCCCCTACAAAAAGACGATTTTTTTATATTTAATTCTTAATTAAGACTTTACATATAAATTGCAGGTTTGTAATAAGAGGTAGTGATGCCATTCATCTATATTTTTATCGTAGGATTAATAATTTTAATTTAATTAATAATTTAATTCTTGAAAAACTGTTTTAATTTTCACCATGAGCAATTCTCTTGTAAAACAAACTCTTTAGTGTAACTCGTGCTTGAAAATCGTACGCATGCTCAATATTATCTTCAACCTGCAAAGGAAGTAAATTCTCAAAAAGTTTACTTTTTAAAATAAAATATCAACAATTGGACGCCCCTGCTCTTGGCAAGGTAAAACAACAAAATTATATTTTATTTTATTGTCAGAGATAACAACAAGTCAACATTGCTTCACGAAGCTGCTCAGGCTGGGTCTATATCCAACGTTGACTTGTTGGTGGTCGATGAAGTCACTCTGTTACATGCAACAGACATGGAAGAGAGAACACCATTACATGTTGCCTGTGCCAAAGGTTTCCGAAATATTGTCTCATTTCTACTGGAAAATGGTGCTGATCCACAAGCAAGAAGTACAGATGGTAAAAACTGTCTGGAAGTCGCTATAATTCACAAACAAGAGTATGTCGTTAACGAGTTGCTGATGAGCACCTACTGGAAAGACGTAAGTAACAGGATTTTTATTGTAAAATACAAAAAGTGTTCCGCTGCTGAGTGGATGAATATTTACTTTTTGTCTGGTGATTGCTCTGTTCATGTGGCAAGTGATTGTCAAATCAACGTTATTAATCATTAAAAGAAAAAAAATATGTGGCTCTGTGGTGGATTAGTGAAGCTCCTTTTAATGGTACACCAAGAAGAGCACAAGTTTCTTTACAAAGAATGTCATTTATTAAGTTCAAGTTTCCTTAATTTAAGCTCATTTGTGATTGGAAGAATGGGGCGATGAAATGCTTTGCGTACCTTGCTGAGAAGATGCCCAATCAAGCCAAATTATTGCTCGATCGTTGTGTTGTGACCAGTGATGACAAGCGTCATTCGCTTGACTACAATGTTACGTACGATTTCTTTCTTTTTGATAATGCAGGTGTGGATATTGTTTACCTTATTTACCTACGATAATCGCCATCTTACGACACTCCTCCCGATTCCTTTATGTTTCAAAACGCAACAATTCACAAACTACATGAATTAGAAGCAGACCCTATTTTAGTTCCTAACCATGCGTTTGCACACTTGCTTGGTGTGACGTATACCGGTTCAATACAAATTTTATACCGTATATTGTGATTGAGTGCATGGAAAGAATGCCAATATTTTAGATATTTTTAGGTTCTAATCCACCTGCATTTCATGCACTGAAAGCAATACTGAAGAATGACGAAGAGAAGTGCTTGACTCACAAGCTTTGCAGGAAATATATGAGTGTTAAATGGCGAGAGAAAGGATGTTACATTTTTTTGATCGATTTTATCCTCTTCGCGTGCTTTCACATTTTATTTAATGTTTACGTCGCATTGGTACGCGGTGGAATTACTAAACAGTGGTTGCATAATAACGGTAAACTATACTGTTACTTTTTTATAAGCTTCGAAGAGGCTTTGTTGAATTTTGTGTATTCCATGTTTAAAATCCCAACCATAACATCCAGTTCATCAGAAATAAAGCAATCTAGATAATACCTTCAACGACTGCTTCATAGTTGATTATAGATAACGTAACAATTCTCTATTAAAAAATTGTAAAATATATAAAACCTGCGAAAAAATAATACGTTTGTGTGAAAAAAAAGTAAGATATAAACTTCAGATAAGATATTTTAAAATATTATATAAAATATAAAATAATTTTGAATAAAATAATAACACAATAGCATACAGCTAATAAAAAAACTATGAATTATAACAACAATAATAACATAGTTGTCAATCATAACAATTATAACAAAAATAACTAATAATTAAAATAATGATATAAGAATATAACATAACTAATAATTGACTTATCGTTCATTAATTTATCGTAGTCTACCTCATAATTATCTCATAATAAATTAATAGCTAACTTATCGCTAATACTATCGTTAATTTTTTTCACTGTCGTAAACTACGTCGACGTTTATTGAAAACGTAATGAACAAACTGGTCTAACTTGGTAGAAGTAGTTAGAGAGGGGAATGGTATGTCTTTGTATACGTTGTCAAAAATACTCCCATTAGGTTAAAACTCAAAAAGTTTTTCAGTACTGTTTAGATGGCGATTATCGTCCATTCTAGAGCACTCCAGAAATGCTACACTGTCAACAAATTATCCACGACCTATTGCAAACCCTGACGACACTGGACCAGTTATTGCCACTTCTATCATTGTTACTTTAACAGTATTGAATGTTCTCAAGGAATTTGTGCAGGTGTGATGACTATAAAATTTTACACATTTTAGATGAATTATCTGTTTTAAACGCGATTGCGTCTCTAAGAAAGTGTTTAATAATGCCTGGTTTTCATTGGATTATAAATTTTCCTTAACAAATTCTATACATCGCCGATTTTAGATGAATTCGTATCGCTGGAAGTATTTCAAGCAACTGACAAATTACTTTGAATGGACTTTGTTTTTGTGCGTTCTGTATTTCATATTCCCCATAAGACAAACGAAAACCGAACGTCAGTTTGGCGCAGCAGCAATTGCAATCTGCATTTCTTGGTTTGATCTCATCTGGTTTCTACGAAGAATTCCTGACATCGGCACGTACATTTTAACAATACAGAAGACAACAAAAACTTTAATGAAGGTAAGAAAATAAATAAACTAGATATACGTTGCGTAGAGTAGTTCCCATACTGTATATGTGGTGTTATACTTTCAAGGGTAAAATACACCAATTTTTAGTTTTTAATAATAACATTTTGACATTGAAAATCACAAAAAAAAAGACAAAAATTTGATGAAGATGGAAAGAATTTAAATATTGAATCCAATCTCACAATATATATGAGCTATATTGTCATATGAATGGTTGGCCAAACTGCCGATATGTATTTAGGACTAAAATTTGCTTCTTCGTTTCACCTTTCAAATTGGCGTCCTTGCCTCAACATGACACGGTAGTGAAAAGTCTTAGGGGTTGGGTTCTAAATCATCACGCTCACTCAAAACGTTTTCCTTTATTAGTTGATGAAATCAAATTTTATTTAAAATGCCTACTATTTGATCGTTTTACCTATTTTTGTAGGACCTGCCTTGAAAATCATCTTGTTGTAAATGTAATTTCCTAAAACATTGTAATTACAACGCTATACCTGCTAACTTTACTTTTATAACACGTCGTTTTCCGACTGCTATGCCAACTTTTTGCCTTGATCTAATTTGGACAATTGATATTCGTTATTGCAGATGCTTCTGATAATTTTGTTGTTCTGTATGGCGTTTGCATCAACATTTTACCTACTGCTGGCTGAACATTCGAGATTTGAGAACTTTCCGATAGCTGTACTAAGTACGTTTGTTTCGATGCTTGGTGACTTCAGTTACGATGATTTATTCCTGAACATTGGCTATTACAAGAATTTTTATTCTTTCAAACTCTCCATGTTCATTATTTTCCTACTACTAATGGTGATCGTTGTAAACAACGTGTTGATTGGCTTAGCTGTCGGAGATACCCAGGACGTGATAAAAATGGCCACAGTTCAAAGGCACAAGCAACATGTAAGTTTGTGTAGTGTCATTTAAGACATACTTATTTTTAACACTATACTTTATTGTTTGAAATGGGTTCATTATAGAATAGCATCAAACTGTTTTCAAGTTAAAAACTTTAATTTTATTTGTCGCAGCTCAGATTTGCCCTTGTCGATGTCAATTTAAAACAAACTGTTTTTCAAGCTCAACTTCAATAAATGAAACATATTCATTGCTCATATTTTAACGTGCAAGTTAAATAAACTTTTATTGTAGAAATTTAATAGAATTGATATTTGCACTAAAGGAGTAGTGTTGAAGTGCCATGTAGCTTAGCTTTTTAAAAATGACTTACGATTTATTTAAAAAATATGGCTTTATTTCAAATTTTATATTGGACGATTGTTTTTTAACACAAATCCGTTTCCGCATGACAAGTCTCTCGCCATTATTCTGAACAATCGTATGTCCAACTCTCTAATTTTGCAGATGAGATTCATGATGGCAGTAGAATCTTCGCTGTTCGCTCGATTGCCTTGTTTCCGTCGAAGAAAATATCCAATTGTGTACACGGAATATCCAAATCGCAGAAAAACGTTTAAGGATAATTTGAATCGATTTTTTTCTGGAGAAATGAACATTTTCTACAATGACGAGGAAAGCGATGATGAAGTTGAACCTGACACTCTAACACGACAGCATCTTGAGGAAATTTTGAAAGTTAGAATTGAAGAACATCACAAGAAATTAAAAAAAGAAATGAATGACTTTCATTTGGAAGTGATAGAGAAAGCTGATAAAGTTTTTCATAATAAGAAAAATGTTTTAGTGTCATAAAAAAGGCTATTATATTTACCAAATCCATTTGACAATATTGTGTCTGAAAATTTGACAATTAAGATCTTGGACGTTTTCTGCAAATATTTTAGTACAACGCGTAAGGCTTGTTGTTTTAAAACTTTATTTAGTATAATCTAAAAATTAGTCCAAATAATTAAAACAATAGCAATAGTATGGATCTCTAAAGCCAGTTCATTTTTATTTTTTTATTTTGAGAGACTAGCTAAAGCTCGCTAATGCCATGTGCTGCTTTCTCAATTTCTAATGCTGCATCCTAAGAGCCCAATCCGAGATTCAAATGAGGAGGCACTTGCAGAGGAACAAAAATTTTAGGGGGTACGTGCCCCTCACATAGCAACGGCATTGTTTTTCTGATCTCTTTGCGTGTTCGTACGTTTCGCGGAAAATTTATAAATTGGGTTCAATTTGAGAAAAAGCTGAAGTTTATTTTAACCAAATTCTAGATAAACCACGAAGGGGTAATGCAGAAGAAATTTGGACGAAAATTTTGATGGTTCCTTTTTTATAAGCAATCCCTGCAGCAAGAAGCTACGAACGCATTAATAGATATCTTGATATTGAAGATCGGACAGTGCGTTTTGAACATCCCATCCGGTTTTTTAATTGGACCAGATTTATTGGTCAGTGTAAAGAATTCTTTAAGGAAAAATTTTTGACGCTCTTAATGTTTCTTTCTGGTGGCATGGCTTCCATCCATTGCAAAAAGATCTTGTTTGAAGGAGGAAGTGGTGTGCGTTCATTACGTTAAATGTGTATAGCAGATTTTATCTGGTTTTTTATCATGCAAGTGCATAATTATCATGTATTATGTTCATGTCCTGTTGCTACTGTAGAAGTATCAAGTGGTAAATTAACTGCACTTAAAGTCATAAGAAAGTTGTTGAGCTTACATATACTGTTTTTCAATCATCAGGAGAGTACGTAGTATCCAAGATGACCAAGAAATCAATACCTTTGGCTTGGGATGACCCTTCGCATGCCAGTCGTGTTGACTCGTCTGTTAGTCAGTGTAGTCAACGGTCTCGGAAATCAAACTTACGAATGCGGCCATAAAGTTCCTCAAGCAACATTTCTGCTTACAGTTAACTTCACATGGGAAGGTGAATAACAAGCTTTTTGAATGAAAGATATCATGTTTAAGAGATCTCTTCCTAAACTGAATAGAAAGGTTTGCTGCAAGATTTGAGATGTTTATGTTTGGCTAATATTTCATTTATAGCTCGTTTGAAAGAACAACTCCGATATACTTCAGAAAATTGCTGAATGATTATGGAGACGACGTGAGAACTTTTCTTGATGGGAGAAAAGCTCTTTATTCCTGGTCAGTGGAACCTACTCGATTTACCGACTTCTTCACACAAGGTATTTAGATAGTATAGTATCATTGGTATATTTTGTTGTACACATCTCTACATGAAGAATCTATTCTTCAAATGATAAGGCTAATTGCAACCTTATGTGCAGTTTGCAAGCATTTTCAACCTACGATTTGTTCTACGAAAGCTATCATTAAAATTTACCTAAAATACGCAGCGTTTTGTGCTAGTGTGAAATATTTTGCTCATAAAATATTTATTAATAAAATAATTCTAGATTGCCGAATTAGACGAAACAATTGTGTCAAAGGAGGATATCGATTGCTATTTCAAGAAGGAATTCCTGCCATACGCCACTTCATTTTATGATTTCTCTGTTAGCTGAAACACCAACGGAATAGAGGATTTGCTTTGTGTCATTATTAACAGAATCCAACATTTGAAGATGAATAAAGACGAGGTAAATTTTTGTTTTGAGCAAAAAAATAACTTTTACATGAAATGCCAGAAAAATACAACTGTTTTGAAATGAAATGAAATTGACTTTATTTTCAAATACGTCTGTATCAAATACATACTTCTCTAATCTTGAAAATTCATACTTTTAGTGTAACCAGTTGTCTAGTTAATTGTAATATTTATTGTAATAATCTTATGGAATTCGTACACATATAGTGGTTTCCAATGTTTTGAAATTTAGTTTTAGCTATTTTTGATACTTTTTTTCACTAGTATATAAATTAGCTATTGTGAGACGTAGATTGAACCAAATACAAATGCAACAGATTGGAGTTTGTCTTCTGAATCATTATTCATCTAGCATTCATACTTAAAGATAAAAAAGGGGATGAGAAACGATGTGAAGGTCTTAATGGCGTCGCTTCCATTACTTTCATTCTACCTAAAGCACTGGAAGTTGTCAGAGCAGCTAGGCTGAAAGCACCAACAGAGGATTCAGTGAGACAAATAATAAAAGGGATTGACGGAGCGATAACCGATTTCCGCTCTCGATCCTCCGGGGAAAGAAAAGTATGCCGTGTGCGAATCTCAACGCAAGTGTTCTCCAACGATATGCTCCCTACAAATAGAGAAAGTCACAAAATGGTATGAAAGCGATGCTGAAATACAGAAAGTAAAAGTTCTTGAGAAAGAGATCGAAATGCTGAGATCAGAAATTAAAAGATTAAAAGATCAATTGTGCAGGGTAAAGAAGGCGGGGCAAGTTGCTTCATCTTCCAAGTCTTCCTTTCATAAAGAAAATTATTTAGTACAGTCCATTGTGTCAGAAAGTCTTACAACAATAGCGAGTGAGTTTATGAGTACTTTTTTAATCCCAATATCCAAAATTATTTGACTTCCTCAAGAAATCATAATTAATTACATATGGTTTTTGTTACCACTATTACTAAAATATTTTGCAGTTGCAAACGATGACGTGCCGACGTTGGAAAATATGGACGATTCAGGTAAAAGTGCCCCTCTTTTGGTAGAGGTTAGCCGAACATTAGCAAAAGCTGTTAATGTTGTTTGACTCATGGTCAATACGTCATCGACCGATTGGCTTTCACGACTAGCATTAAAGTTACACTGCAACAACTTTCACTACTGTCATTACGATCTTGATAATAATCTCCATGTTTCTGTACTGCAGTGAAGCAAAAATTTGTAACTACCTTGTCAAACTTCTTAATGCAAAAAAAATTTAGTTTTTTCAACGACAACTCATCTTTTTGACGTATTCCTTACAATATGGCTAGGCATCGAATATGAATTATCGGATATCAGTGATGGTAAGCACATCAATTCTAAATTGAACTTTTGAAATCAATGAAGTTAAACCTCATAGATAGATACAGCTTGGATCTATCTAAGATTCGATTGTCGTCTACCTACAGCGTGCCATTCCACGCCTAGCAGTTCAGCCTTAGAGCGAAAGGAAGTTGACGACAAAGAACGTTCAAGCTGGTGTTCCATAACATGTAGAAAGAAAACAATTGCCTGCATGAGTATGTGCAATCGATGTGAACAGTGGCTGCACTGCGCCTGCGGTGGCCTATCTTACAAAGAGGCGAAAAAACTTGATTTTTTCACTTGCAAATCGTACAAATCAATTTAAAATTGTGTTTGAACTTTGAACGACATTAGGCTAAATAAATCTGAAAGAAGTTTGCATCAAATTATATTTGTTATTTCCCCAGTGTTTCTAGTCATACTTTTAAGTCATTTTATTTCTGTTGCTTTTTTCCTTTGGGCAAATATAGAGTCTTTCTGGCGATGGCATTTTTCCGTGTATCTGTTCCCATATTGAAATAAACGATGCAAGAAAAAAACAACTGACGCGTTTGCGGCAAAATAACTTTTTTAAATCTGCTGGCCCATACAAAGTTTACTCGCATACCATGATGTTTAGTACTTTCGGAATTTTTTTGTCAGCATTATATAATGTTTTGCATGTTGGATCAACATGATTTCTTAAACGAAATCGATCAATGCATTTTGCAATTAGCTGCCATGCTCCATCAAATGGTTTAGGCAGAGGTAAATCTTATCTCGAAATACGCAGACTGTCCATGTGGCACCTATTATCGCAGCTTAAGCATAAGGACAGAATCTTTCGACAAATCTCTTTGTCAGAAATGACCATTTTCATATGCTTAAACTTCCGATACAACCAAAGGATTATAATCAGGAACGCCTGTGTTGGCGACTCAAACCTGAAGTAATAAAACAAATAAAATACTCGTACAAACTGTTCATGAGATTTGAAATATTGCATGTTATACCTGTAAAGTGGTTTCCAGTATTCGAAGTGGCCGCCAGCACTTATAACGAAAAACATCCCCCGTGACCTCCGGTGTTTTTATTTAAGAAAAGTTCTTTAATTTTTGTGTCGTCACTCACGTACAAATCCAGGATCATTTTCAATAAAATTCGAGGTTCCTTCACAATGAATGATAACAGAATTAATCTCTCAAAATGTTGAGAACATGCATCGTGGGAAATAGCGATCTTGTTGCAGATCATAAATAAAGCTTCATTGCTTCAAATTAAATGTTGTTCAAAATAACAACTAAAAAGCAAAAAACCTTGATATGAAGATACTTTAACCTCATTTCTATTTTTAGTTTTGGCAAATCCAGGCACACATCAATCTTTTCAAACATGGTTTCTAAAATTTTAATCAGTAAAAAACAGTTATTCAATAATTGACTATCTTAATTTCACACTCACTTTTACATTACTTGCGATTGGTACATCTGAAGACATTTCTTCTAAAGCTGAAAGCAAAAACATGTAAACATTAGATTATCTCCACAGCAAAATGACTATTTGATTCATATACATAGGTTAAAATCAATGGCAAAGCCAGTCTGATGTAAAATTTACTTTCACAATGTAAAATTTTCAGTAAAATTGTGATTTATTTCTTCAGAAAATTAATAATCAATAATTCAATGTGAAACATGTAATTAACGATACTACTTGTGAGCACATCCTTTTTGTTAATGCCACAATATTTGTAAAATTCCCTTAAGGGTAACCGAGCTGTTCTGCCTTGTCACAATGTAGCTCACAAAATGCTTGCCCACGCTTTGAGATAATGGACAAACATCTGGATAGTTAACCTGACCAAACCCTGAGATATTGATTCGTACTTTCCACATGCAATGCGCATAACGCAACTTCCATTTTCCATCAGCAACATACAGTCTCCCACAATCTTAAAATTACAATGCCTAACATTACAAAATACCAAACGCTTTGATTTTAGCAACTAGTTACATAAGGAAAAACAAATCATCCAATAATAACACGAACCTTAAAGCGGCTTTAGGATATTTTAATGGAATGT